TTAGGATCTATATCGATGCTGAAATGGTCCAGAGGAGAGCAATTCGGTATGTCTGGAATAGGTATCACAACACTTATAATCATAGAAGAATCGTTCTAGAACACGTACATTCTAGAACCTGAAATCAAGAACAAATTGTGTTTCAAGACTAAAAGTGCTACAAAGCCCAAGAACTAAAATTCAGTTCTAGAACATCTTTCGCAGGGGTATTATTAGCTCACACACCATCTTTTCGAAATCCCCTGAGACACCATCCTTGTACCTGCAAGAATTAGGAGAATCAATCAATTCTCTTAGGGGCATCAACAGATACAAACAGACACTCTTTCGTTCCAATCACCGTGAATAGCAGCTATATATAATCTAGTCCCCACGATCAGTTGTTATTTGTACAAAATGCTGCTGTTCTCTTCTCTGTATACTATTATTTTTAAATACTTTATTGTGCCTGTGTATAGTTTTTAAATCACTAATTTTTCTGCACTATACTATATTGCATTGAATTCAATCATTTGCTTAACTTATACTGATTTTAAACTGATAAATACATGTAATTAAGCCACACAGACATTACCCTATTTCGTTTTAGAAGACCAATGTTTGCAATGCTGAAATGGTCGAAGTATATGAGCATACATATAACGAAATCAGTGATCTATATTTTAGTTAAATAACAAAAAGTGTTAAAAAATTACAAATTGAGAAACATACTTTTTATGCTAGGATTTCAACTAGAAACTGAATTGATATGTTGTCTTTAATGATTCCTGATATCAAATTTAGTGTAAACATCTACGTTTTATTAAAAAAAATTTAAGAAACATCTTTTTGTAAAAGGATTTCAATGGAATTTGATTAAGAGGTCTCATCCAAAAACACTGAGGCATTGAAGATTTCCTGACTATTTTAAAAACCACATATTTGTTTGATTAATTGAGAACATATACCGGTTTTCCCTGTCATCAGATTTCCTTCAAGACCTTATTTTTACATGCAAGGATAAAGGGATTGAAATAAAAGCAGTGTATGCTACACACAGAATAATTTGGCTTGTACAAGTATTTGATCGTGTGGAGGGCCTATGGGATGTAGGAATCATCTTACTCACCAAGCAATTTCGGAAGAAGACGGCGATGAAAATGACGTCTGAACAAAATATGCAAGTTAGAAATATTGGGAAAATTATTTCGTACAAATATATTACAGTACAACTCATGGAAAGTGGATACAGCTTTGGCTATGCGGAATGTTAAAACCCAGGGTTGAACAATGAGAAGCCCGGTGTTCGGATGATGTTGTGCACTTTGCATGTTAAAGGACCCTTTCAGCATCTTTTTCTGATGGGTCCATAGAAGGCTGCTGATGTAAAAATTCCTACCCATACAATCTCAATGTTTATAACAGAAAAATATACGCTAACCTATCAGTACTTCATTTAAACCATTTTATTCAGTTACATAGTGAAATATTTTCCGCTGGCAAATGGTATAAAACAGAAACAACCTTAACTTCAATTATTTTTTAAGAAACCGCGTAACATTCAGAAATATATCTTTAAATGTACATGTGATGTAAAAAATAGATCAACTGACAGCCATTAGAGCTAATTTCCCAATGCTTGTAGAGTAAGACTTTGGTTGGTTTGCTTGCTTTGTTTGTATAAATGTTTGCCCAAGCATTGTAATTAAGATTGACATCTGCAAACAATATAAATAGGCGGATTTAAACCAAACAATAAAGCAAAGAAAGAGCTCTTTTATTGCTGTCCTTCATCTCAAAGTCAAAGTGACTCTTCAGCACGTAGAAAAAAACTCTCACCTCACTGCAAGTTTAAGACGGCCCCTCGCACCGGTTTGAGCGGAATTCTTTGCAAAATGATTCGAATGATAATGACCCGCCACATTATGTTTGCGTCTGCTCCAAGCAAAGAGCCTGTAATCCAATGGTTTTATTTGATTGGTGTCTGTCGGTCGTTGGTTTCTTCGATTATTTTAGTATTAGTCTGAAACCACTGTTACAAACCCCAATTTAAACCAATACAAACTTACAGCTATTATTTCGGATATTGCAAGTCACAGACTTTTCAAACCAGTTCGCATTGAAAAAGGTGAAAAGGAGAAAATGTCCTTTCTAAAACTTTCCTTTGCCAACAAAGGTCTAGATACCATCAACCAGTACCTATCATTTCTTATACCTATACCAAACAAATTGCAACTAAAATTTTCAATTACAAAAACATGTTGCAGGAGCTCAATATAAACAATATTGACGACTTCAGTATAAACCGTCTGATGGCACCTAGTTTCCCGGGCCATTCATATATAATCCGACTGGCCTCGTTATTACTGGTGACATAAACATTGTCAGTAACACTTCTCTGCGAAATGTGTTATCCAAAGGCCCGAAATATCGTGAGCCTAATTCCATCAATTGGAAACACAACTTCAAAATACTGATGGATTCATTCGAGGATTATGCGAGGCAATGTGTTAAACGAGAGAAAGAAGACGTAGGAACTCTTTCCGAATCGATTAATGCTGTGAGGTCGTTGATACAAATCAGAATTTAAAATACTGAATGGGTCTATGAATACCCATGCTACATCAATCTTTCACGACTCAGATGTTGCAAAACACCTGTCCTACTTCCATGACAAATATGTTGTTGTCCCCGCAGATAAAGTCCCAAACAACATCGTTTTTGTGTGTAAATCACATTACATAAACTGCTTGATAAATGAATTAGGTGTTGACAATTCACTTGGAAACTCAACATATACCCACGACACTTACCAAGGAAGAAATCCTGAATTATCATAGGTCTGTTCTATGTACCTTTGGAATTTCAACCAAAGATGAAGAACTGGATCTTCCTTCACTGTATTGGATACCTAAATTACATAAGTGTCCTTACAAACAACGTTATATTGCTGGGTCTTCAAAGTGCTCCAAGAAACCTCTTTTTAAACTATTAACATCAATTTTATCGGCAATCAAAGCAGGGCTTCAAAGTTATTGTGAAACTACCTATTCTAGAGTTGGCGTGAATCAGATGTGGATACTAAAAAAATTCAAAGAGTACATACAATCTAAGACTCTTTCAACTTGCAATAGTATTAAAACGTTTGACTTTTCTACACGTTACACAAGTACTCCCCATCCCAAACTAAAAGAAAAATCGAAAAAGTTGGTCAAGCTTTGCTTCATAAAATAGAATGGCCAACGTAGATACAGTTAACTTGTCTTAAGGAGGGATAAATCGTACTTTGTAAAAAATCACTTTGATTTAAATAAACAATTCTCCGAAACTTTCATTATCAAGATGCTTGATTTCTTGATTGACAACATATTTGTTATTTGGAGGACGTGTTTTTCAATCAATAATCGGCATTCCCATGGGAACCAAGTGTGCTCTTCTTCTCGCCGACTTGTTCCTTTTTTCAAATGAGGATGACTTCATACACGACTTCTTAGGAAGAAAGAAAAGAAGTTAGCAGTATCCTTTAACTTTACTTTCCGCTTTACAGATGATGTTACAAATGCATATCACTAAATAATTCAAAATTTGGTGACTATGTTGTACGCATCTATCCCATCGATCTTGAGATAAAGGATACAACAGATACATTTTAGTCTGCCTCATACCTTGACTTACACCTAGAACTTGAGAATGAGGGCAGGTTGAAAACGAAACTTTACGACAAAAGAGATGATTTCGTCTTCCCAATTGTGAACTTTCCATTCCTATGTACTGAGCAACATTCCAGCAGCGCCTCACAATTGATACGATATTCCAGGGCTTGGATTGTATTTCCTTGATAGAGATTTACTGTTCACAAGGAAGCTATTAAACCAAGAGTTCCAAATGGTGAAGTTGAAATCAACCCTTCGTAAATTTTATGGACTCCATCACGAGTTGGTTGACAGTTATGGACTATCTGTTTCACAGATGACAACGGATATGTTCCATTTGTCGTTACTACAATCCCGTCCCCTTTTCTCATAATGTGACCTGCCGAATACGACTTGTCATCTGTTTGTACTAACATGAGCAACACGATGGGTGCCACATGTTTTTCTGGATCTGCTTACCCTTCCGGAGCACCTGAGCGACCTGATCACCCCTTTTTTATGGGGTTCGTGTTGCTCACTCTTTAGTTTTCTATATTGTGTGTTGTGCACTGTTGTTTGTCTGTTTGTCCCTTTCTTTTTTAGCCATGGCGTTGACAGTTTATTTTCGACTCAGTATGAGTTTGAATGAATGTCCCTTGGGCATCCGCTTCCCTTTTTTAATCAGGCCAGTTGTTTTCAATTTTTAAAAGCTTTACGCACATATATTAATTGGGAAACACACGAATATGACAAATCGAAAGCCATAAGACGATTGTATGAAAAAAAAAACGTAAAGGAAAGGGGAACGCTTAAAACTCGGACAACACAGAAGACTGCAATACACCTTATCGCTAATCCCGCTTGACCCGAGAATCAGTCCCGCTCGAACTTTTGACGTCATACAACAATCACTTTTCCATTGTGGCGTCAGATATTTTCTATTATGACGTCAAAATTTTACGGGAACTTGTGTGATGTCCAGTAATGGCGGACAAATAGCGATAAGGTGTATCAAAACCAGGCTGAATGATGTCAGATCATCGACAGATGCCACGGAAGGGAAATTGCAAAAGGTTTCTTGTATTCTGAGTGAAATAATACTTATTTTCCTAGTGAAATTTTCCAGAAGTGTGAAAAACAATATTTTCAAAGAAAATTAAGACCGAAAAATAGAAAAACATTCATCGCTGACGAACTGTGCAAGTTTAAAAACCGCGGGAATTTATCGAGTGTATTTGGGTTTATCGCACTCGATGCAGAAAATATCCGATACCCTACGAATAAGCGGCAAACTTAAAAATATAACACCGAATTTGATTGGCCATACTGAAGTTGTCGTTGTAAAATGTAATCTTATTGGTTCATATTTTAAAGTTTTTTTTTTTGCAATCCGCCGGCATGAACGAAAGTTAATGAATGAAAAATGTCAAGACGTAATAAAAGAGACGTCGATAGATATGTATCAAATATTCCTGAAAAAGAGGTAATACTTCAGTATGTTCAATCACAAAAATACTTATACTGGTCGAAGTTTTAAGTAATAATTGAAAGTGAAAGTGGCTTTCTGAGAAAAAAGGGGGCAGGTAGGACAAAATTTTGTGTTCTGTAAAATAATGATACCAAGGAAGAAGTAAATAAATACAGATTAAAAAAATTAGTTGTTTTTATGTTCCATCGAAGTAAAATCTCCATTATTAACGGGAGTTGTATGTTCCAGATCACTTCCCGTTTATCATTCCATTAAGTCAGCAGTTGGAACCAGTTGCTCAAACGGGTTATAATATTCCCGAATGCTACGTAAATTTACAGTTCAAATTCACAGGCACTTGTTTCTATCCATGGGAAGAACCACTATCAACATATATTTAGGAGAAGGTACCCAACTACTTTTTTCACCTCTCCGCTTCAAAACCTTATTTTGCTGTCAATTCATTTTGTAGGTGGACTAAAAACGATCATATGAAAATTTATTGACAAATCTTGTGTAATTTGCATGTAAGGGGTACTCTAAGGGTAAATACAATGCATACCATCTAAAAGAAAAACATTTCATGAATAGAATGGGGTATGGAACAAGAAATTTGAGCATGAATTGACAACAAAATAAGGTTTTGAAGAATCCATGACAACTCGCCCCACTGGCAAATCGCCCCACACCAAATCGCCCCACTTTTTAAAAAATCGCCCCACTTATGAAAAAGGGTAAAATCCTGTTCAATATAGGTCTGCCAAATCGCCCCACTTACAAAAAAGTAGAAAAATCCCAATGAATTTAGTCATGCCAACTCGCCCCACTTATAAAAAATTTGTAAGGGTTTAACAAAAATGGGGAAAATATTATTAAACATTTTCCTGTAGATAATATCTTCTGATTGTAAGAATTTCTGTTCAAGTTTGGTAAAAATCCAAGAAGGTTTATGAATCTAATAAATGTTTCAAAAACTTAACTGCAGACTGTCATTACTGTACGTAATGTGAACTGGAATAAAACTAAGTCCATTTATAAGTAATATACGGAAAAACAGGAAATAAATTTTTACAAAATTTCCTTTTAGATACTAGCTTTTGTTCATAAACAAGCTTCTATCCAAGTTTTGTACAAATCCAGGATAGTTTAAGAAAGTTATTAAAATTTTGAAAGCTTTAACCACAGAGTGAATGTTATGATAACTGGCAGAAAAACTAAGTCCATTTATAAGTAAAATACGGATAAACAGGATTTTTTTTTTAACAAATTTACTTTTGAATACTATCTTATGATCACAAACAAGCTTCTGTCCAAGTGTGGTACAAATCCAGGATAGTTTAAGAAAGTTATTAAAATTTGAAAAACTTTAACCACAGAGTGAATGTTATGTTAACTGGCAGAAAAACTAAGTTCATTTATGAGTAAAATACGGATAAACATGATTTTTTTTTTACAAAATTTACTTCTGGATACTATCTTATGATCATAAACAAGCTTCTGTCCAAGTTTGGTTGAAACACAGGATAGTTTAAGAAAGTTATTAAAATTTCAAAAACTTTAACCACAGAGTGAATATTTGTGGACGACGCCGGAAGACAACGACGCCGCCGACGGAATGTAGGATCGCTATGTCTCGCTTTTGCAAATAACTAAGCTTGCAAGAATAAAGTTATTCTCCAATAAATACGTAAATTACATTATAATAAATAATGTATCTACAATTCTATTTTAAGAAGTGATACATCATTTATTTGCAATCATAATCATATATTAAATTTCGATTTTTTTTTTCTGAGAAGATAAGTTTTCATAAGTGGGGCGAGTTGGCAGACCTTTATTCTATATTCATCGGGATTTTACGCATCTTCATAAGAGGGACGAGTTGGCAGGAGTAAATTGAAATGGATTTAACCCTTTTTAATAAGTGGGGTGAGTTGGTAAACCAGTGTATGGTGATTTTTTAAAAAGTGGGGCTAGTTGGTGAAAAAGTGGGGGGAGTTGGTGTGGGGCGATTTGCCAGTGGGGTGAGTTGTCTTGCTTCCGGTTTTGAAGCAGAGAGGTAAAAAAAGTAGTTCTCCTAAATATACATTGATAGTGGTTCTTCCCATGGATAGATACAAGTGTCTGTGTTGAAAATATAGTAAACTGCATTTTCAATTACTCCGAAGGCAAAATAACAAAAAATGTATGTTTAGAGATCCAAAACTTTATAACTTTTGAGATTTGATCCCAAACTTTTGATGGACATCTTCATAAACTTTTCATTATTGACATTAATATATATGTTTGAAATATTAGCTATTTAAAAGAAATAATTTATCAAAACCACATTAACCTTGTAGGAGAACACATAGACTAAATAGATACTTTCTTCCATTAGAGTAGTGAATCAGTGAAATAGCCTGTCAGATTTAACGGTGACGTCAAGGTCTCTGAATAATTTTAAGTTGAAGAAAACGGGAACCCATACAGTGTCTTCCCTAGAAAATTTTTCATGCATGGTGGGTCCATGGTGAATTTGCAACGCGGCACGTGACGCTTCTTTTTCCACAAATAGTTACACTACATAATTTATATGTTTAAAGCCATATACCAATCTAATTGTTTTATTATAGGTACAGCAAGTCATATAAGTCATGGAACTTTAAAGTATTTAATATAGATGAGAGGAATTAATGAAAGACCTTATAAACAATAATAAAAATAATCCAGTCTGCAAGAGTTATTTACAAATTAATGCCATGTACACATTATTTTGTTGATATCCTCCTCTGTTTCAACTTTCCAAAGGTCATCACACATTTTTCAAAATCAAAATCTTCCTCCTTTGGTCCTTCAATTGATATATGCATTAAGCAATTCAGCACTTTTTGGCATAGTCTTTTTCTCAAAGGTGTTTTAACTCTGTTTAAGCATGAATAACACCTTTCACAATCAGCTATTGAAGCTGGCAAAAGAAGACCAATTGCTGCATACTTAGACAGAAAAGAGACTGGCAACTTTGTTCATTATCTGCCTAAATGTCATGTCTTTACATTCTTTCACTAACAGTATCCTCAGTTTGCTGATAGAATGGTTTCAGCATCAACAGCAAGTTGTTAAATAAAACTTTGAATGTCATCATTGCTTCACAGAGATTTCAATGAAGCTTAAGTGTAGCGGATTCATTTGCCGTTTTTTACACAAGTGGGGCTAAATTTCTTTCACTTCGGCAAGACAGGATTTTTACAATTATGAAGCGTTGTAAATAAATCGGACAGGGATGTATTTAAAAAAAATAGTTAAAAAGTGTCATGAAATAAAATGTCAGCTTAGCTTCCAAACATTGTCATCCATATGTCAGGTATTCTTCATTGACGACTTCTGTAATTAACGCAAATAAACTTTGTTTTATTGTTTCCTGTAAAATCTCTGTGAAGCAATGATGACATTCAAAGTTTTATTTAACAACTTGCTGTTGATGCTGAAACCATTCTATCTATTTAAGGAAATATTGTTTTGAATAAACTTGTGTTGTTCTATTTTTATTTCAATGTTTCACAAGTTTATTAAGAACAATATTTCCCTTAATAACTACGTATGTTTTGAAAGTTTTTCTATCAAATCTTTTAAATATTTCATAAGACACATCTTTTTCTCGGCCCGGTGGCGGTGATGTGTATTCTTTGATATAATCAATCAACCGCAACTAATCTAAAAATAACGGATTGTTGTGACCAATCAAAAAATAATTCATCGATGTAAATATAGCTGATGAAAAAACTGTGAAACTTTATTAAAACAAAAGTTTTGTCCATTCTCGGTGGAATGACGTTAGTTTTATTTTATAATACCAGAGACTATACCAAATTTTAAATTTCTACTTTTTTAATGATCACAGTAAAATAACAATGTCAAACACCTGTTTTAAAGGTGAAATTTATACTGGAAAAGGTTCTTTTTTTTTATTAAGCACAGAAAGATATGCATTGGAGATTAATCTGACTATTTATTTATCAGCTAACTGGCAACTTCTATCATGTAACCGAAGTCTCGATATATAACCAACTAATTAAGAAGGTTGTAAAATCCCGGCACGCGCGACGTGATGCATCCAATTATCAGTCGGATGAGTTTAAAACACATGTGGAGTGTTGTCACTTGTCACTTCACTTTCAAAATATCGATAATAGATATTTTACACAGTTATAATTTTCACACATAGCTCTATGCATTGCGGCAATGATGAAAGCATGGCGGTCGAAATTTATGCGTAAAGGTACCGCAATGCTTGAATAGCCTAGGGAAAACACTGACCCATATAATTTCATAAGTTTGGTTTAATTGTGCATACCTATTTAAGTTTTAATTTTGATAAGTATATTATACATATTATCTTGTGAAGAGAAATTTCATTTGGAGATTCCAAGATGAGGGGTCAGTAGAAGCCATGGCTTATTTAATGACTCGAATACAAAGGTATAATGTACTTTGTTTGCTGACTGATTTTGAACTTGCTTAAAAATGTTAAAAACAATCTTCCTAAATGTTAAAAGCCACCCCCCCCCCCCCCCCCCCCCCCTCCCCCCTTTTAAATGAGCTTGCCAGCAATATAGTATAATATCATATCTATCTCTCTCTCAATGTAAAAAACTGACACTGGGTTTAGTTCGACAAGAAACTAATACATTTTTTTAGGGAACTAGACTGTCTTTTACAGAAATGAAATTTCTTGCTAGATTGAGTAATCAGGTGAATGCCTTAAAGAACCAGATTCCTAGGATGTTAAATTTCTTTTTCTCAAACCTAATCCAAGAATGTAAAGTGGAAACTCATTGAACTAAACAACCAAATCGGGACAAACAGGTTATTCTCTATTATTTTAATCGGTGTAAACCAAACAGGTGTCTTCAATCCTAAAAATCTGGAACAGACTGTTTTCACTGTATTACAATTGATACAACATTTATATTGATAGATTTGTATACAATGTACCATTCATTTTCTTTCAGAAAAATTCCAGAGGATACCAGATATCTGTGTTATACAATGAAGCTGGTGACTATGAAACTGCTAAAAGGTATATACATGTATACTGCACATCATGACATGTATATCTACTTTTTATACGACCGCAAAAAAATTTTTGGGATCGTATAATGGTATGATGTCGTCATCGTCTGTGTTGTCATCTGCGTCGTCGTCCAAAGACACATTGGTTTCCGGACAATAACTCTGGTTTAAGTGATAGGATCTTTATGAAATTTTTTAAGAAGGTTTAATACCACAAAAGGAAGGTTGGGATTGATTTTGGGGATGATTGTCCCAACCGTTTATGAATTAGGGGCCCAAAACACGCATTTTTCTATTTTCAGGATAATAACTTGTGTATAAGTATTTCGATTGCTCTGAAATTGTAACACAATGTTTAATACCACAAGTAGAAGGTTGGGATTCATTTTAGGGGTTGTGGGGCCAACAGTTTAGGAATTAAGGGCCAAAAACAAGCATTTTTCTAGTTTCCAGACAATAACTTGTAAGTGTATGGATCTCTCTGACATTGTACCACAAGGTTCCATATAACAAAGGGAAGGCTGGGATTGAGTTTGGGGTTAATTGCCCCAAACATGTAGGAATTAGGGGCCAAAAAAGGTCCAAAAACAAGCATTTTTCTAGTTTCCAGACAATAACTTGTGTGTAAGTGTACGGATCTCTCTGAAATTGTACTACAAAGGAAAGGCTGGGATCGAGTTTTGGGGTTATTGCTCCAAGTGGGTTTTCAAAAAGTTTGGGGGGGGGGGGGGAATTTTTTTCCAATTTTTTTTAAGGGATTCATATTTTTTTTCAAAATTTTTAAAATTTCGAATTTTTGAAAAGTTTCAAGAAGAAATCTTCAATTGCACAGTATTGCGCAATGGATTTATAAGATCTTTGACCACATTGATTTTTGTCAGAAACCTATATTATGTCAAAAAAAAAAATTGTTTTGCATTAGAGTTACATCCCTTACAATGGTGTTGTTATAATTTTCTAACATGCATGAATTAAGTGCAAAAAAAGAGCCAAAACAAGCATTTTCAAAGTTTCCACACAATAACTTATGTTAAAGTGTATGGATCTCAATAAAATTGTACTACAAGGTTTCATACTACAAAGGAAAGAATGGGATTGAGTTTGATGGTTAATGCTCCAAGGGGGATTTAAAAAGTTTGAAAGGGGGGGAGGGGGGGGGGGGGGTTCCAATATTTTTTAAAATGGTTCATTTTTTTTTTTTCATTTTTCAAATTTCAAATTTTTGAAAAAGTTTCAAGAAGATATCTTCAATTGCACAGTATTGCGCATTAAATTTGTAAAATCTCTGACCACATTTATTTTGTGTCAGAAACCTATATTATGGCAAAAATTTGATCACAATCCAAATTCAGCTAGTATCAAGCTTGAATATTGTGTCCAAATTTGCCCCAACTGTTCAGGGTTGGACCACTGCGGTCGTATCAGGCTGCGATCAGCGAAGCATTTTATTTATTGTTTAATTGAAACATGTTTTAATTCTGTGCATAGTTAATTTTATAGATAAAAAACTTAACAATTACCCTGTGTCACAGAATTTTATGTCAAAATATAATTTAGGAAAATATTGAGACTTCTAGTGTCAAGAAGAGAAAATTTGTATGCCCCTGCCATAGAATTGGTTTCTGTTCTCTAACATAAGTTTGCCTCAACCAAATGTTATGAAACTTATACACAATACTTATTACCACAAAACACAGATGAAGTTTGAATTTGGGGGCATCACTTTTACCTTTCTAGAGTAATGCCCCATTACAAATGGAAAAATTGCTGAATTTTTCGTTTCCGTTCTCTAACTTATGTATACCTCTACCAAATGTTATGAAACTTATACACAATGCTTACCACAAAACTCAGAGCAAGTACGAATTTGGGTAGGGTCACTTTTACCATTCTTGAGTTATGTCCCTTTATAACATTATATGCAAGCAAAGGCATCATCTGCGTCCCATGGACTCATTCACCATTTATTTGGAATGACACTAGAATTTAAATTAAAATCTAAAGTTTGACATTTTGCTTTAATGAATATGCCTCTGCATTTCTGATCTCTATAATGAAAACTGACAAATGAGCAAATTTTGCTAATAAGTTATCAAATCAGCATTTAATTATGTAAACATGGTAAATCACACTTGAAACAAGTAATTTTTCAATTGTTTTTTCTCAAAATTTGAAATCTTAAACATAAACTCAGAAAAAGTAATAATCTTCTTGAGTTCATCACTTTAATCTATCAGTTTATGACGGCCCTTATTATGTACAGTTTGATAGTTTGTGAAAAGAATTTTGAATTATGTTTTCCTTTTATAGATAAAGAGAAGTAATAGATTTAACTGAAAAGCTTAATTTGTAATCTTTCGAATACCTTAATTTATTTTCTTTTTGGCATCTTTATCTTGGTTATCTCTACATTTTCCTTTTCTCCACAATGAATGTCTTTTTATTGAATTGAATTCTGCATTTTAAGGTACCTAGCATCTTACATCAGTACTAGAGAGAATGTACCCCAGGCTCATAAATTGATGGGACAGATTTTAGAATCCAGCAAAAACAAAGAAGATGCTATTGAAAGTTACAAAAGGTACACATGGTTAACATACAGAAATAAATTTTGAAAAAGTGGGAAAATCCACAACAAACCTTGCTATCCATTTAGTTAAATAACTTATGATATATATGCAAGATCTAAAAACGATTGATATAGATGATTGGATCAGGTTAACATGTCTCATACAAATGAAACCGCAAGAATATTTTGTAATGGAATATTTACCAGCATTTTTTTTTCCAAAAGGAAAGAGTACCAAGCTGTAAAAGATTCACTGTTACATTAAGCTTTAGAAATTTTCAACATTCATATAATTAAATTTTTTTTTTCTTCTTCAGGTCATTCCAACTAGATAGTAAGCAAAAAGATTTACTTCTGAAAAGTAAGTATAAAATATTGATATGTGTAATTGATTCTTATTGTTGCAGTGGTTGTGTTTAAATCAAGTGAATCTCCAAATTAAATTGAACAAGTGAGAGAAAGAGAGGGTATTAAGATCAGTAATATTGCATGCAAAACCAAAAATTACAAATTTGAAATGCAGTAAAGCAAAATATAAATAATGAAAACTGAAAAATATCCAAATGCATGAAATCATAAAATCATTAGGGTCTCCCAAGTTCAAAGTAAATCTGAAACATACATGTACATATTTTATTTGATTTTACAAGTTATGAAAATTATGAAACTGAATTCATAATTTCGTTGGTTCCAGTGTTTGTGGATGAAGGAAACTAAATTTTCGTGGGTACCCTTTTTTTGTGGATTTGACAAATTCTTTGCATTTTTTTTATAGGTAATTTGTATTTGATTGTTTATGTATGTCCATTGAATTAATACCCCACAGTTGTAATGAATCCACAGTATTCTAGATTTTCTAAATCATTTCTATTATTTGTTGACAAAAGTTACCATTGAACTATTTCAATAGAATTACAAACTTGCTTGAATATAACTTGTCATGGCCTTTTGTTGTCTGTCGTAAAACCTGCATAAATAGCTGTGGGAGGAAACATTTTCCATGGAAGAATTGCATCTCTGATTTGGTGATATAACTTAGCAAATGTATATATATATATGTATACACAAATATAAGATAAAATGATATTTAATTACAGTTTGTGAATTGTATGGTAGTTTGAAGAGTATTGACCCTGAAAGAGCTAAAGTAAGTAATAAAATGACATTAATGGTTTAAATACTTGTCTAATACTCACTTACGGGAAATTTACAGAATGAGCTTTGAGTATAAGAAAGTATGATTTCAGACTCAAATGTCCTTTTGGCATGTCGAGAACTTATTTGGTGGAATTGATAAAAACTATTGATCCCATCCTATATGAATTGAATCATTGAAAGCCACTTAAAGCAAACCATAAAAAAATGTTTACCATTTTTATATGGATGTAGATTTCAAACAAAAGAAAAGTATTTTTACTCGTAAGATTATTAGTGAAAAAAGTCACAGATCTATGCTTCAAGTATTTAAGGATATTAACTTTTTTCAAAAACATGAAATGCAAGAAACATTAATTTTAAAATAAACTCTCTTGTATGTTCATACATGCGCCAGTGGGTATATTCCTTTATAATATTTCCCCATATTGAAAATTTTAAAATACAGGCTTTTCAGGAAATCTATAGACCTAAGCCTAATTGCTAACTGAAAGGACAAGGTTCACTTTTGGCCAAATATGGCCTGCAATTAAAACGACCATAAAAGACCCCAAAAAAACCATAATTTGCTTCTTAAATGGATCAGTTTCAAAAGTCTCAATGTTAGGTAAATAAAATTTCTTCTCATATTAGTCTCCAAAAACAGCACATTTTGGATATATTGTCAAAATATGATGATTTTGTGTATCCTTTAGGACCTACAAGCTTTGGGAAACCTTTGGCTGCAACTAGCAATCCAAACTGTTCAATCATTATATTGAATCCATAGACACAAAATATTTCTGAATCAGGTTACAGCAAAAGCAAATTAAGCTGAAACTATAAATTTGGGAATGATTGGTCCAAAGTGTGATGTTACGACAAAAATATTGCATAATAAGGTCATTACTTAATAATTTAAAATGTGATTACGCAAAAAAAAGTTATTTTATATTAGTAATAGCAGTTTTTGTCTCACCTGGGACTAAAGTTGCAGATTTCGTCGCGGAATGTGAGACATAGGGATTGCTTTTCTGGCGACGGCTCAAGCGTCAACAATTGTTAAGTTTTCTGCTTAAGTTAGTTTGAAGGAACTACTTGTGATAAACCATTGATATTAAGGTAAGGTTTGCATGATACCTGGATTTTTTTCTTAGTGATATTATACCAATATGATACATCATTTTGTTCAGGGAGGAGTGCCCAATCATTTAATGAAAAAAAATCGAAAATTGCCCGTCCCGTTTTTTCAAGTGAAAAGCTCAAAATTGCAATTTTTGACGTTTTTTAGGGAAAATTGTATTTAAATTCTTCTGAAATAATAATATATGCAAGTGACTATAAAAAAATAAAACTGAATAAAACATGTATAAATAATTGTGGTCCATTCATCAGTCAGGGATATAACTCTATAGGGTTATTACAGAAAAATAACATACATTTGTTATTGTGGACTAAAAAATCAAAGAACTGTGATAACTTATGTATGTTATATGTTTCAAAGGGACAATATACATAATTAGTTTAGTTAAAATGTATAAAAGTTCTATTGGTACTACTTTTGTCTATATGTATACTTAACTATTGAAAGATATAACAGTTCATAGTTTGCCAATTTTGCATAGTACACCTATATGTTATTACAGAAAAAGTATGCCTGTAATAACTAAAGGGTGTTATCACAGCTTCTCTATATCACTTCAAAGCATTTGCTCAGACATACATCATGCTTAATTACAATGCATTTTAATTTATTGTAAGAAATAATGACCAGAGCATGTAATGAGGTTCTGCGCAAGTTTCTCAGTAATTCCCAAGTGTCTTATATAATAAGTTAAATTCCTTTAATAACTAAGCCTTGTTATCACAGCTAAGTTTATCCCTTAATAGCCTTGTCTCATTGATTTACCATGGTTAATCAAAAATTTATTAATTTAATTAAAAAATTAGTTATCAAGGCTATGCATTTAGTTTCTGCGCAAAGTCTCAAGAGATCCCTAGAGGCCACTATAAATGAAATAATTTTACAAATAACAAACATATGTTATTACAGATTAAGAAAATTTAAGGAATAAAGAGTAGACAACTCATGAAAGTATCTGTAATAACACACACAAGTTATTTTCTGTAATAACCCTATAGAGTTATATCTCTGACTGTTCATTAATGATAAATTTTAATTCAAAAGTTCTTAAAAAAGTTCCTAAAAACAAGATTTTTTAATTTTGGGGTTAAAAAATTCCGTTGCCATGACAACAAAAAGCCCAAAATATCCCCTTTCCGGGTCCACCATTTTTGTAAAAAACTGTGAACTTAAGTTTTTTTATCCTACATTGAACTTTTGATGTCTACCATTGACTTTTATGCCCATAACTATCAGTCGAAGGGGAGGTGTTGAACTTTGGTCATACTTTTGTATTAATACATGTACAAGACTCTGATTTTGAAGGAAACACTTATTTTCTTTGTCCTTCAAACTGTAATATTTTGAATATTAGGATAGCATTCTAATTGCCATTAAAAGTAATGAAAATTGCTTTATTGCCCCATGTTTTGTTAATTGTTTGTATGCAGAAATTGGATGAAAAAACATCAGTTTTGACTAGTAAAGTCATTTACAGCAGCCGTGTTTATTCCATTCATTTAAATCTGATTTGTCCAATTGTTACACATGATGTTCAGATTTGGAGTCTTTGACCAAACAAACAAACTACATGCTCCTATACATGATGAGGGGCCTGATGGGTTATTTTCGTTCTTCGTGATCGGCGCATTTTCGCTATCGTGATCCGTTTTTCTACAGATTTATTTTTTTTTATATTTTCGTGATCCGTGATCATGGAAATTTATTTTCTGTGAATCGTGATTGACAAAAAAATCATCTCGTGAATTGTGATGAGACCCCCCCCATCAGGCCCCTCCATGATGATAGACGAAACAGAATATGGCCCGGGAATACAAATGACCAGCCGTATATGTTTTGTTCATATATAAAATAAGAAATGAAGTTATGTAGACCTGTAATATGTATCTTCCACATTATTTCATTAAATTAAAATCAATTCAATGAAGTTCACAGGAGTAACGGTACTGTAGTTTAGGAGTCCCCACCGTCAATTTGCGATTTTGATGTTCGCAAATGCAGTTTTACTACGCATCGACAGTAAAACGGAAATTTGCGACCGTCAAATCAAAATTGATTGTGGCTACTCTTCAACCACAGTAATGTTATTCCGATTCTAATGCGTTACAAAAAGAAATAATACGTTAGAGCTTGGAATAAATGGGGAATGTCCATGGGACACTGATGATGCCCCCTCTTGCATAAACATAAAACATTATAAAGCATTACGTATAAATTTTATAACATTTGGTTGAAGCAAACTAGAGGTTTAGAACAGAGACGAAAAATTCAGAAATCGACCTCATAAAAATACCCTGAGCTTCATTTTGAGCTCTTATATACAGAGAAAGACTAAAAACTAACAATTTCCCAGATTTTATAGTGAGTCCGTGCATGTGTAGAGACACATGTTACCATCCTTGCTTTTAGATAAATTGCTTCGAAGTGGACTGATATGCATAGAAGTTTGTTTGATAAGAGGTTGTTAAATGTCCGGTGGCAAATAGTTCAGGCATGTTAAGGACGACACAATACTATAGTTGTGTCTGAAAGACACATTTTGAATGCATCCATAAAAAAAAGAATAAACCACACTTCTATCTTGTGAAAGGAGCTTCCCATACATTAGTTTTTAAGGTTTTACGGCGGGAGACAAGAGAAGGGACATGGGAGAAAGGAAAAAGGTACCCCCTGTCCGACTTGACGACATCAAAATTCAAACTTGTTCTGTGTTTTTGTGGTAATAGGCATTGTGCATAAGTTTCATATCAGTTGGTTGAGGCAAACAAAAGTTAAAGAACGGAAACCAATTTTGTAAAAACGGACGTACACTATGATACTACATTCGGATGGACGTACAAACAGACAAGAATAAAACTCAATGCCCGTTTGCTTTGGCGGGGGCATAAAAATGTACAATTTTGAAATAAAATAAAATTCCGCGAAACTTCATGAATGGTTTTTGCACAAAGACGTTATGGCTAAACGTGACGTCATATAAATGAAAACTAACAAACTGAAGGTCATAACGTTACTTCTACGATTCAAATTTTGATCAAATCACATCAAAACGCCAATTTTGAGGTAGGTGTTGTTTTATTTTCGGTAATGGCGGGTCCCTCCATTTTTTAATTATTTGAATTTGAGTTATCTCCCTGTGTACGCAAACCTTACCTTAAATATAAAGTTGTATTACTATTGGTACATATCAGTTTGACAACTATTTTGAGGCCTTGCCCCCTAGGACATAGTCCAGTAATTAATAAGCAATTTTCAATGTTAAGTTTTTCTGCTTAAGTTATATTGATAGGAACTACTTACAATAAACAATGATATTTTCTATAAAGTTACATTACTGTCTGTACATCTCAGTTTGTTGACCATTTTCAGACCCTGTCCACTTGATCATGGTCCAGTGACTGAATACATAAGCAATGTTGCTTTCTATCAGATTGTCTTTTTCTGAATTTTATGACGATAGGCGAGCCATATCTCTGTGTCAACAGTTTATTATAATGAATGTTTGTTTCTTTATTTTGAGCAGTATTGGGTAGAACAAGCTGAAAGATTTCATCATAACAGTTCTGTGTTATTTAAATTGAAGGTAAGCAGAACTTGGTGATTTTGTAAGACATATGAGCTCCTGTAAAATTGGGCTACCTTTAATTTTATGCAACAAAATCAACCTATAAAAATAGTTACATTTAAGGTTGTACTCTAGAATTAAGCTCAATTGAATTTCAGATCTGGTTACCAAAACACGCATATCCTTTTTCAAATGATTTGATTTTTTAACAAATTTACCATTAAAGATGAGGAAATTAATACTTCTTATCATTATTTGATATACAAAAATAAATTTGGAAAACCAAAGGCTTGAAAGACGCATACTGTTTTGACTTAATATCCATTGATTGTTGGACTTTTTCTTTTAATGTAGACATAGAAAATGATTTATTTTCCAGGAAAGAGTAATGTCAGGAGCCAACTTTGAAGATCTAGAAGATTTTTACGCAAAACAATTAGTATGTTTATTTATGCTCAGGAATTTGTTCTAATTACAGAGAGCACCAATAATTGTTAAAGTTTCTTGTTAGTTTCTATGGTTTAGATTGATTTAATTGTGGTTAGATCTTGTCAGTTAGATTGATTTAATTGTGGTTAGATCTTGTCAGTTAGATTGATTTAATTGTGGTTAGATCTTGACAGTCAGATTGACTCAGTTATGGCAGCTCAATTTCAAGTTTGTTTACCCAGAAAGAGGTTACTTCTCAGCATTAGAACAATATTTTATTTCAAACCATTATTTCTCTTTATTATACCCAAGTTCTAAACAGAGGAGGGTTATTAGGCAGAAGATACCAAAGAGACAATAAAACATCAGGAACAACCAGCAATACCTTGACAAAATAATGAAAAGTTAAACAACAGTATAAAACATCACAAGAACAACCAGCAATACCTTGACAAAATAATGAAAAGTTAAACAACAGTATAAAACATCACAAGAACAACCAGCAATACCTTGACAAAATAATGAAAAGTTAAACAACAGTATAAAACATCACAAGAACAACCAGCAATACCTTGACAAAATAATGAAAAGTTAAACAACAGTATAAAACATCACAAGAACAACCAGCAATACCTTGACAAAATAATGAAAAGTTAAACGTTTAACAGTATAAAACATCACAAGAACAACCAGCAATACCTTGACAAAATAATGAAAAGTTAAACAACAGTATAAAACATCACAAGAACAACCAGCAATACCTTGACAAAATAATGAAAAGTTAAACAACAGTATAAAACATCACAAGAACAACCAGCAATACCTTGACAAAATAATGAAAAGTTAAACGTTTAACAGTATAAAACATCACAAGAACAACCAGCAATACCTTGACAAAATAATGAAAAGTTAAACAACAGTATAAAACATCACAAGAACAACCAGCAATACCTTGACAAAATAATGAAAAGTTAAACAACAGTATAAAACATCACAAGAACAACCAGCAATACCTTGACAAAATAATGAAAAGTTAAACGTTTAACAGTATAAAACATCACAAGAACAACCAGCAATACCTTGACAAAATAATGAAAAGTTAAACAACAGTATAAAACATCACAAGAACAACCAGCAATACCTTGACAAAATAATGAAAAGTTAAACAACAGTATAAAACACTATATATAAAACTTAAGCATCACTTACTCCATCAACATATAAAACTTAAGAATGAACATTGTTGTGCCACGATTATTTACAGTATTCTTTTAATAATAACCTTCATTCATTGCTTTTCATTTGTATTTCCCGGTGTATATTTTCCGCGAAACTAGGTCATACATATTTTCACTTTTGTACACTTGCTTGTTATGCGGAATGATTTTCTATAGTTACAACATAATTACCTTATTCAGAAGTTATTAATGCATCCTATTTTATCCATAGTTATCCTTTTATAATGTTAGAATTATCCAAAATCATACTTGTCAATTTAAAGGCCATTTTGGTTTACTTTCACAATTGTGTACACGCGTACTATTTTTAGGTGTATTGATTAAATTGATCTTTCAAACGTTTGGAGAAAAGTATAGTCAGTTTCAAATTATAGCCGCTGGCGAACAGCTGAGTTTCAGACAGTGACCCAAAATTATTTATTCAGGTATTTTGGCACACACTGCAATTCTATTTAATTGATTTATTAATAACTATTAATAATGATATTAGCTTTTAATAAAGCTGCTTTTATCTATTTAAACAAATCTTATTTCTTGATTATCCAAAGTTTGGACTTCAAAACAGTTTTATTACTTTGACTTTAATTGATATTTGTATATCTGCCAAACCATTTACAATAACGGTTGGCGCTTCAAGCATCACTTACTCCATCAACATATAAAACTTAAGAATGAGCATCACTTACTCCATCAACATATAAAACTTAAGAATGAGCATCACTTACTCCATCAAATAATGAGGTGGGGGGAGTAGAGGGTCCCTTTTTGATCAGAAAGATATTAATTTTTGGCATAAACTTGTCAAAATAATTTGCCTCGTAGCAACGCATGTGTTGCTGGTGCAAGTACAAAATCAGTGGTTAGTCTCATTTAGTGATGTCACAATCCAGTAAAAAGGACAGGATTGTGCCTACAGCAATAGGATCATATATGTGGTCATCTGTAACACAGATATTCCAACATTTTACCATATCAATTTCTAGTTGCAAGTAAAGATATAAGGCAGACTTAGCTGTACTGTGGAATCATTTATGTCAAGTTCAATGGGATGGATGAGTTCAATGTAGTCACCAAACTTTTAACGGAGATCATCAAGAACAGAGTTTGAATGATATGCTAAATAATTTTGACTGATGCAAATGTTTTTTGTAGGCAAAAAACTACACAGAAGTAAATTTACATACCAAGTTGATAGACCTGTACCTATCAGAAGACAAAGTAGGCAATGCCTATAGACACACAGTTGATGTAGAGAAAACTCTAGCATTTGTTGACAACATTGTGTGGTATGAAAACACCTCTAGAGTATTTCAAGTATGTATAAAATCACAAACTGGGTAACACCTAAATAAATGTATAGTTGAAAAACAAAGGAAAACATATACTGTTTTTGTCTTGCTTGCGACTTTTGAATGGATTACTATGCGGTGGAGGCTTAAACTATTTGTATGAAGCTGTTATTTCTTGTATAAGGTAGATGACCTGGATGCTTCATACCTTGTATGCAGATACCTAATGTTACAAAGTTTCCGCCTGTCATATGTCCATTGTCGTTGACCTCAATTTCATTGTTAAGTCTGCTTGAAAAAAATTTATATGGTTTTGTCATGTGAATTTCTCACTTATGAGTGTAGGATAAATATATTTGGTATATGGGTTCCTTGCAAGGGTCTACATGTTTGTCAGACAGGGTTCACTTGACATCAACTCATTTCATGGATCAGTGATCAAGGTTAAAGTTAAGGGATTAGGTCAGTTTCTCAGATACTACAAGCAGTAGGTCAACTATATGTGGTATATGGAATGATTGTAAAGGGGTACATGCCTGGCCATGTCTGACCCTCACCTCATTTTCATTGGTCAATGTTAAGTTTTTGTGTTTTGATCTGTTTTTCAAATACCATAAGCAATAGGTCACTATATTTATTGTATGGACTGATTGTTAGATGAACATGTTTGTCTGGCAGGTTTCATTTAACCTTGACCTCATTTTCATGGTTCATTGGTCAATGTCATGTTTTTGTGTGTTGGTCTGTTTTTCAATTACCATAAGCAATATTCCACTATATTTGATGTATGGAATAATTGTAAGGTGAACATGTTTGTTAGACATGATTTATCTGACCTTGACCTCATTGTCATGGATCTTTAAATATGTAAAGTTTATGTGATACTTGAAGTAAAACCTTTATCTTTATGACTTTCAACATAAAAAAAACAGTAAAGCAGGCTAGACATTTCAGCATGTGCACTCTTGTTCTTTCTGTTTATTATTGAGCAGTACAACAGATCATACTAATCACCAGTAACTGACCCCTCCAAAAAATAGAGGAACAAACAGCAGCAGCAAACAGGCACAAATCTTCTTGTGGTAAACCAGTTTTACCGTCACACTGATCTCCCCTTGTGCCTTTCTAGACCATATGAACTTAAAGTAAAAATGAAAAATATGGACATTCCAGCTACCAAATGGATAACCAGTAAAGTAACATGGACACAAAAAATGGCACATGATTTATTTAGCAGTTTCAAAATGTGCCTTGTCAAAATGCCTAGTATTTTTTAAAGGTAGATAACACCAGAAAGTATATAAATTTCATCATTTGCTTTGTTAATGCTGACTGCAAGAAAAGGCCATTTGCTTCTGTGTTTTATGTATGTTATTTGAGACCTTTTAGAATAACTCAAACAGTAAAATACTTATCTGTTCTTTCATTGCAGACTTACCAGAAAAAAGAAAGATGTCAAGCTGATACATCATTCCACATGCATCGCTTAATTGTTTTGTGTAACTTGGTGTACCTACAGATCAAAGAGAGAGAAATTGTTACCTGTGCACAATCATTATACATGTAAGCTGTGTACAATAGTTTCTGTTTCCTGTTAGGAGTCAAATGAAAATCTGTCCCAGGAAAATTAAATAATTAGAGGAGTTTGTGATAATTTTTTCAGTAGGATGGGTGGTGGCTCCAGATTTTTTCAATGCAATAACTTGAAAGCTGTTCCATCAATGCTTTTGAAAGTTGTTTGAATATGTTATTACTGGTGACAAAAAAAAATTATGAAAATATTTTGTAGTCAAATGTAAAAATACTTTAATAATGAATCATTTGTTTAAATACAAATAAAAGTAATGCCATTCCCAATACTGTAGAACTTTCTATAACACAAAAAATCCATCTTGTTTGTAAGCCAATGTATTTTTTAAATCATAATGTTTATATGTAAATTGATTTTAGGCTTGACCAGAGTTTACAAGAAGCTATGATGGTGAAATCCCAGAAACCTGAATGGATGTCTGTATTATGTGAAGTACAAGGGATGTATTACTTCCTCTGTGGTTTACTATTGTTGAAAAGAGCTAATAAGGTATTTTGATTGGATGAACATAGTTTTGAAGATATGAATAAAAGAGAGATTTGGAGTATATAATAATGTGATAGCAACTCAAACAACCAAGACATCTATAAAGCTGAATTTAATAAATAATATTATTTGAAAAATGGCTGCGTATAAGTTTTCAGCAAACACTATGGAAATACTGCATCCTTAAAGACCAGTCCTATATGGGATTATTTCTAATGGTCCTTTATTTTCAATTCCTTATTTCTGTCTAATAGAATGAAAACAAGGCAGTTACTGATTCTGATTGGTCTGTATACGATTTCTCAAATTCTGAAACTAAATGGCAAAGTTTTTCCAAAACTCGATCTGTTGTTTGGAGACCCTTTATGAAATTTTTTCATTTCATGCTGATCTAATGACATTGGACAAAGGTACCACATTAGTTTCAATTGAATGCTTTTGTAATATCATCATCTCTAAATCAGAAGACCAAAGACTGGTCAGCTCAGACCCAGCGAAAAGTGTGTTCTGGTAGGGTGACTGTTAACATTGTGAACTAGCACATTAAAAATCTGGCTCATAGTGTTGGTTAAATACAAAGCATACAACACCAACATGATCTAGTCCTGATATGCATTGTATTTACCATTGAACATTCATCACCAAACCATCCATAGGTCCATGATGTTATATATGTGAAATACTTTTCATTGACTATTAAACAAATTTATTTGTAGGGACAATTAGTTTGGAAAGATGCCAGTTCATTTTCTGTTGTTTGTTTCCTTCTGAGTTACAATTTCCCAGTTATAAATAGAACATCGGCATGGTATGTGCAATCCAAATCTGTACAGCTTCAGAAGTTTTATGACAGAGTTTATCTGTTTGGGTGCTACAGACTTAGTCAAGCTGGTATGTTTATCTATAACATAAATATAAAGAGTTTGGAAATGATTCTCACATTTTTTTAAATCACAAATTCTCATACCAACTGATTAAATCAATTCAGAGATTCTTGATGTTTGATAAGGAAATGACATTAGAAGATTCTAATAATTTCTTAACATTTAAATTGAAAAATTGAGTATTTATCAAAAGTTATCACCATCAGATCACTATATGACCCTGTGAATCTTAGAATTATTTTTCGTTCAAGGCCATGTGAAATATGCAAAGAATGCTCTTTAGAGGGTATTTACTAAGTATTGGAATCTTTTGTATGCTTGTGTATTAAAAGTGGGAATAAAATACCATTATTGGTTTGCTAAAAGAAATATGCTTGAAATGCTTGCTTACCGGAAAGCAATCAATCAATACAAAGCACATTATCATAATGTTTTTTTGTCCAGGTTACATTGCCTCATCACTGTTGCATGGTGAAGCTTCTACACAGCTGAACACTCAGCGACAACAATTACGTACTCCACAGGCCAGAGATAAGCTTTATGATGTCATGTTCACAATGAGGGAGATGAGAGAAAAGAAGGAAAAATCTTATCTGATTCAGTCTGATCATTTCTGTACAGCCCAGGTTGTTGTACCATCTAAAAAATTAGTATCAGAGAATGATAAAGGTAAGTATCTATAATACTAAAGGAACAAATTGCCAGATTTTTAGGAAAATGTGTGGCTAAAACTGAAAAATATATAGTTTAGATTGTGCAGGTTGTCGCATTTGCATATTAACTCTTACAAGCATAGACCTTTTTTGCATTTATTTACAAATGCACTTTTAAAAAATCTGTATTTTTTTGTAGGTGTAGAGGAACTGTTTGCTGATAACTTAGATCAGTTGGTATGGCTGGCATTACAGAAATATTCTGTGAAGGATCAGGTTCTTTCTTATAGTAAGTGTAAACAGGGTTTCCAACAGAAATTTGAGCCAGCTGGACATTTTTTACTGTCCTGTTTTTATCTCTCTTGCTACTCCGGGCATTAGGCCAATCAAGGTAACCATCAGTGGACCAAGTGCAAGGAATATATAGTCGAAACACATGGAAATGATTATGTAGCATTTTAGTATTGGTTCCCTCAGCTGACAGCCACTGATACCTTGATATTGGTTTCATTAACTGAAAGTGCATACAGTATGAACATGGAAATGTATAGCTGCCAGCTGTTGGTTGGGGGTCTGTCTGTCCCAATTTTGTTTCCGCACTCTTAACTTCAGCTTTCCTCATCGAAATTTTATTAAATTCATACACAATGCTAAGAACCAAAACTCAAAGACAGAGTTCAAATGCAATATTTTATCTTTGAATTTTAAATTGACAGTACAATTGTACACAATGTTATGAATGTCAGTGTGAGCAATTTTAAGATGAGAACACTTTTTCCAGCGTTATATATAAGCAACACATTATATAAACATTTTTTTTTTTTCATTCCAGATGGGTTGGCGGTATTCAACAAATTACCCTTTAGTACAGATGATATTGACAGTGCTTCTTTGGAATCCCTTTGTCAACTGGATATTCAGGTTGGTTTAAATATACTTAACAGGTCAAGGACATGAATGATAAAACTACAGTCTTCCAAAAATGCGTTGAATATTATCTGTCTCGTGAGGTAGAAATTAGATTATGTGTCCAACTAAAAAACAGACCTCATCTTCTTTAAAGTTACTGTCAATTATTAAAATTAAATTGTTCTTAAAACTTTTAGATGGAGTAATGGTTTTCAAGCCCTTCATCAAATCTTCGTAATTAGATGCCCAATTAAATGGGGAAGAATTTCTCATTTCAACTCTGTTTTTATATGGCATATTTCAACAACAGACCTAATGTGACATGTCATATGTGACTTATATTTCATCATTTTTTAAGTTTATTTGTAAATTATTATTAATTCATACAACAGTTTTATATATGTTTTGGATTTTTTTTTAACTAACTTTTAGGCATATTGTTTTGATATAAATTAGCTCATGCTGCAACATAGTAAATTTTTCTTAACATGGTGTTAAATAGCCAACAATCAATCAGCTCTTTAAAGTTTGTTTCTATTAGCATACACAAAACTTTTACATGATTTTTATACGCCCGTTTACAGGACGTATTATGGTATACCGTTGTCTGTCCGTCCATCGTCAACATGTCGGACATTAACTCAAAAATGCTTTAACCAATTTGCATAAAACTTTGGTGAATTGTTTATATCTATTGACCTGAGCTCCCTTTCGTTTTTTATAAATTTTAGATTTTACGTTTCTGAGTTATGGGGTTTTATTCATTAAAAAAAGGGGGATTTTCCAGTTTTCGGACAATAACCAAGAATGCTTTCACCAACTTGCAAGAAATTGTGGTGAATTGTTTATATCTATTGACATGAGCTCCCTTTCGATTTTTATGTATTTTAGATTTTACGTTTCCGAGTTGCAGGGTTTTATTCATAAAAAAAGGGGGATTATCCAGTTTTCGGACAAAAAATCAAAAATGCTTTCAGCAGTTCTTATGAAACTTTGGTGAATTTTTTGTATCTATTGATGTAAGCTCCATTTAGAATTTTATAAATTTTTCATTTATCATTTCTGAGTTATGGGGTTTTATTCATTAAAAAAGGTGGGATTTTCCAGTTTTCGGACAATAACTCAAAAATGCTGTTAACAGTTCTCATGAAACTTTGGTAAATTGTTTATATCTATAGATGTAAGCTCCCTTTACATTTTCATAAATTTCTAATATGACATTGAGAATTAGTTGAACTTTATTTGTTTATAGTCTGACAACAGATTTACTAAGTATTGCGCAGCAGCACAGTGTATTGCACAACAGCAAGAAATCTTTAATTGAATATAAATTCAATTCATATAACCAATTTCAAGTTCTTTGACTACATTTATTCAGAAACCTATAATATGTCAAATATTTAATTACAATCCAAATTCAGACCTGTATCAAGCTTGAATATTATGTCCATTTTTGCCCCAACTGTTCAAGGTTGGACCTCTGCGGGCGTATACAGCTGCGCTCAGCAAAGCAGTTTATTGAGTAATGATATGAAGGCTTGGTTTTGACTGTATTGAAGTGGTTAGAATTCTGTATACTTTTAGATATTTTTCCTGGCAGCATTGAGATGTGCAAGTATAAATTATGAGGAGCAGCGCCGAATCAATAGAAGGGATCAGTTTAGGCCTTACATTCTCCCTGCTTGCCTATGTTCAACTTTGTGTACAAGTCAGCAAGTCGACTGGTGGACAGCTATGTACAAGCTTTGTACAGGGAAGGCTAAGGAGAATTTCCCTAAATTAAGAGCTACAATACAACGAGGATTGGAAGTGGTCAGATTAAAGGGACCTCATGGGATGTCTGTAGTCACTATTACAAACATTGCAAAGAGTTTTGATCAAAGTGTAAGTATTTCATTTACATTCTTATGGAGCAAAAATGTGATTTGTAAACTGACAGAATCATTTTTCTTTAAAAATTGGAAATATATATTCATCAGTATATATAAAATCTGACTTTGCAGTAAAACTGGTTGTTAGATATGCTAAGAAAGTGTGATCTGTTAGTCATTAGTGTTCATTACATTAGTTTTGTGATATTCATATTAGTAGGAATTATTTTTACTTTGGTTCCTAATTAATAATTAACATTTTATATTTTGTTATATTCTAACTGAAATATAAAGCAATATTAGTCCCACCACATTAGGTCAAATTAACGGAGAAAAAATTAATGTTAGAGAATCTAAAAGAGATTTAATTTCTGTTTGCCTTATAGATTTTGGAAATAAAAATGAAAATATCTAATTAGCAAAATCCTTGAATCAGTTTAGGTAGAAATTACAGGCAAATGTTAATTGAATTATAGATTTTTCTTATACCAGAAGTAGTTGACTATGAAACACATGTTGAACTTAAAAAAATATAGGATGTTAAGCAATCAACAATCAATCAACAAAATAATATCTGTGTTGATTGTAAGATATTCTAAAAACTTGAATAGAGGGTACATATTACACTTTGAATTAAGATAACACCTCTTCTACAAAAGGTCAAGGAATTAGAGACTGACCGATCTGTGGAAGGACAAGAAAGACTGACTGGTTATAATGGTAGAGCAGCAATGTATTGGAAAGAAGTCCTTGGTATGGTTGAAAGGTTACAAAGGTAGGTGTAGATACATTTGTATTCACTACATTAAGTTACAGTGAAACCTGAATAATGCCATCAAATTAAACTGATTTACAGAAGTAAAGGTACTACTGTTATACTGACCTTACCTGTTATTATGTTCATTAATAAGGTGATGTGGTCTATTTCTGACCATACCTGTTATTATGTTCATTAATAAGGAGATGTGGTCCATTTCTGACCATACCTGTTATTATGTTCATTAAAATAAGGAGATGAGGTCTATTTCTGACCATACCTGTTATGTTCATTGAAATAAGGAGATGTGGTCCATTTCTGACCATACCTGTTATGTTCATTAATAAGGAGATGTGGTTTATTTCTGACCATTCCTGTTATTATGTTCATTAATAAGGAGATGTGGTCTATTTCTGACCATACCTGTTATTATGTTCATTAATAAGGAGATGTGGTCTATTTCTGACCATACCTGTTATTATGTTCATTAATAAGGAGATGTGGTCTATTTCTGACATACCTGGCGTTATGTTAATTGTATGAAATAAGGAGATGGGGGTTAAGATTGCCTGTGAGTCAACTATCCACCAAAGACTTAACTTCAGGTCACAGTATTGCCTTCATCTATTAGTTAAACTCATGCCATAAATTAAGCCTAGGGCAACACAGTGTGATAACAATTCAAAAAAGAAAGCTAACTGACTGATGTAAGCTAATAACATTAAACCAAAAACAACTATGGCAGACAACACCAAGCATAACATCAAGGTTACAGTGTCCTGACCTTGAACTGGCACATAAAAAATGATGTGGGGTTAGACATAATTGTTCATGTTCAATCCCTTCAATACAGTTCTGTTGAATTGGTGTCTTTCTGATTCTACAGTCAAAGCCATGAACAACAGTTCACTGAATTTCCTTACTTGCGTTTTTGGTCAAAAGCAAAAAGAAAATATTTCATTTGGTAAAGGAGGAAGATATTAACCTGTATTGGTAGCTTTATTTTTTTTTATAGGAAAATAGCACAAAGAAGGCCTAAAGAAAGATTATTTGATGATGGTGACAGTGGACAAGTAGATTCAAACCAGATACAAGATATTAAAGACCAGGCTCAGTTTTCATTGGCCATTGTTGCCATGAGGAGGGGAAGTTTAGAGGAGGCAAAAGAGAAGCTTGAATCTATCAAAACACCATGGGCTTCATACTATCTGGCTAAGGTATTGAGAGAGGATTTCATTTACTCATTTGCCATTACATTACATTCATCTGCAAGTTTTAAAAAGAAAATGTCCTATGAAACCACAAAGACAATTGAAACCTACATTTATATAAATAAGAAGATGTAGTATGATTGCCAATGAGACAACTCTCCACAAGAGACCAAATGACACAAGAATTAACAACTATAGGTCACCGTACGGCCTTCAACAATGAGTAAAACCCATACCGTATAGTCAGCTATAAAAGGCCCGAAATGACAAATGTAAAACAATTCATTTGAGAAATCTAACGGTCTGATTTATGTAAAAAATAATGAACAAAAAACAATTATGATAAACAGCAACAAAGGACAACCACTCAATTACAGGCTCTTGACTTGGGACGGGCATATACAGAATGTGGCAGGGTATACTAGTTTGAAGGCACCAACCCTCCCCTAACCTGGGACAGTGGTATAACAGTACAATGTAAGAACAATATTCACAATAGTCATTACTTTGTATATTTTAAAAATAAAATAAAAATCAATAAAATTTATGGAACTTGGGTAAATATAAAATAGTCACCTGAATCAAGTTGTTTCACCTGAGCAATATTGATACCAAACTATTTTTAAGAGATTTTAATACAATTTCAATTGAACTAACCTGTTGCAGGAAATTCTTTGCCCTATGAATGGTTTTATGATTATAGACTACAACTCTCTGTTAATGGGAATATTTCAGATTTACCGTGACATGTCAAGGGATATAAATTCTGATGACATAGGATTTGCTGGTGACAAGTTAGCATTAATGGAGAGGGCTTTGGATACTCTGTACCAGACATTAGATAGACTGAAGACACATAAAAATCATGTAAGTATATGAAGAAAATAATTGAATGTCTTAAAGATTTTAACTTTCAATTTAAATCTTGTGTATGTATAAAACATAGTGAACATCAGTTTATCATTTTTTGTGAGAAATATGTGTTGTTAAGTCGAGGTGTTGTTACAATGCTGCACATGCCTTTTAAAAAATTACTGTCTTATTAGACTTTCATATTTTAATATCGATATTCAATGGCAGTTACTGTCCACAAATTTTAGTAATTTTTTTAAAATCAGCTTAAACTGTTTTCCTCACTCAGAAGCAGAGTACATTTGCCTCTGGAAAAAGAATAATGTGCTGAACTCATAATTTGCAATAAAACAATAAAATGATTGTTAAGCCTTATGTTCCATAGGTAATATTAAAGGTCCTCTTTATACTCTTTACCTTTACATGAAAAATGAATACACCTTATCGCTAATCCCGCTTGACCCGAGAATCTGTCCCGCTCGAACTTTTGACGTCATACAACAATCACTTTTCCATTGTGGCGTCAGCCATTTTCTATTATGAGGTCAAAATTTTACGGGAACTTGTGTGATGTCCAGTAATGGCGGACAAATAGCGATAAGGTGTATTGGTCATAAAAGTTGTTACAATAAGTAAATTCTTTCTATTTCATCTTAGTGAAGGTGCTTAGATTTTGAAATGTGTGAGATTCACATTGTCATACAGACTGCATTTTTTCATAGCATGTTTATTTATAACTATGTGTATTGCAATCATTTGTATTTATATATCTCACACGATTTAGAGAGTATTGTATCTACAAGAATATACTATTTATCTTTATATGTTTGACAGGAGTTAGAGAGTATTGTTCCTAAAGAAATAGATGAAGTTGTTAATGAGATAGAAGGACTTAGGATGCCTGGTCTTGGTTAGTACACGTAGGACTTCTTATTTATTTTGAACTTAAATGTTATAGGGATGGGTACAGTTTATAAAAATGGCAATGAATGAAATTCCTTGCTGACAAAGTAGAAATTAACATTAAGCTGCAAATCTTGATATTTAAATACATGTATATTATAGAATAACCTGATTTTGTTTTATTAAGTTGTAAATCTTCATATTTAAATATATTAAAAAATAAACTGATTTTGTGTACTTTTTTTGTACAAAACTACACTTGAAGTTACAAAAGTATGTCTAGTGTGGAATATTTCCATGTTTTTATTTTAAGGACATTTGTGAAATGAAAAATTTCAATGACTGTGTTCTTAATTGAAAAATTTTGTGTTTAGCCCTTGTTGACAGTATATGTAATGGCATGAATAGTACGGGTCAACCACCTGACTTGGAAGGGGACGAGGAAAATGACTCTGAAGAAGAATATACAAGTTTTAGTACACCTAATGGTAAAGAGCAACAAGTTGATCTTAAGCCATCAGTGATATCATCTGGTTTTGTGGCTAGTACTCCAGCAGTCAAGTCAAGAACACCAGGAAAATCTCCCGGATCTAAACAATTACAGTTCAATATGGAGGTATGGTTGATTGGATATGTAGCCTTGTATAGTTTACAGGGTTCTTGTTGATAATTGAATTGTTATATTCTTGTACATTTGATCACAAGTATATTTAAATATATGATGTGTCTCAGCTATCCAGATAGAAGTATCCAGCCTTGAATTGAATTTACTTGCGCTTCAGTTATCCAGAACTAATGAAATTTATTTGGCCTCACAGGAAGGTTTATTTAAGGTCTTGTTGGCAATGTATTGAATATGTGTTTCATTGACCATTTTAGCCGTTTTTAGCTCACCTTACCCAAAGGGCTAAGTGAGCTTTTCTCATCACATCTCATCGCTTGCGTCCGTCGTCTGTTTACTTTTACAAAAATCTTCTCTCCTGAAACTACTGGGCCAAATTTAACCAAACTTGGCCACACTCAATATTGGGGTATGTAGTTTAAAAAATGTGTCCTATGACCTCGCCTGCCAAGTGCCAACCAAGATGGCCAACATGGCTAAAATTAGATCAGAGGGGTAAAATGCAAGTTTGTCTATTATTTTGAAAACCGTTATAAATAGAGGAAATCTGACAATAGCGGAAATGTTCAGAATGTTAAGCTCTAAAAATTATCCATATATGTTAAAACTGTCAGACGACTTCTTATAGGGGTTATTGCCCTTAAATGACAAATTTTACCTTTTTTTAAAAATTTTTGCCTGTTATTTTGAAACTATAATAGATAGAGAGAACCTTTAAAGTGCAAAAATTATCAGCAAGACAAGTCCTACAAATAAATCTACATTGTTGAAATCATCAGTCAACTCCTTATTAGAGTTACTGCCCTTTTGGTGTTTTTGCCTTATATCTTAAAAATTATAATAGATAGATAAAAACTTAAATAAGGAAAAATGATCAGAAAGACAAGATGTACAATTAAGACAATATTGAGGAAATCGTCCGACGACTCTTTATTGGAATTATTGCCCTTTAATGACCATTTTCACCATTTGTTTTCCCTTTTACCTTATATGATAAAAATTATAATAGATAAATAGACTCTTTGTTGTTTGGTGTGAGCCAAGGTACCGTGTTGAAGACTGTACTTTTGACCTACAATGGTTTACTTTTATAAATTTTGACTTGGATGGAGAGTTGTCTCATTGGCACTCATACCACATCTTCTTATATCTACTTTAAATCTCAAAAATGATCAGCTAGTTAAGATTTACTAACAAGTCAAATTTTGCCAATATAGCTAGTAGACAGTCACTCTTTATAGGAGTGATTGCCCGTAAATGAGGATTTTTTTTTTACCCTCTATTGTGTTCTTAGCAAAAACTAAAGAAGATAGAGAGAAACTAAACAGACTAAATGGTCAGCAATACAAGATCAACAAAACAGAGATTTTTGTCATGAATTCTATTCTCAGATTTTCATATTTTGAAGGCAGAAGTGCTGAATGATATTAATCTTGTTTACAGATGCCTTGTGCTCTGAAGTTTCCATCTGGCATATGTGCCTTGTTCTTGACCTCATTTTCATGGTTCCTGCACATACAAAATTAAAAATTTTGTTTATCAAATGATTTTTTGCCCTGCTTGTGAAAGAAGGGGGATTGTTTTTATGGATCTGTGCGTCTGTCCATTTGTCTGTTCTTCTGTCCCATTTAAGGTTAAAGGTTAATTTTTAGATAGTTTACCATGAAGTTGCATCCTATCAACTGGAAACTTGTTTGTTATGATGTGAACTTTTCAAAATAAATACAAAATCGGATTTTGACCTAGATTTCGATGTTCGCTGAACATAAAAAATATGATTATTCTAGCAGCACACAGTGTTTTATGGACAAATATTCTTGTTACAGATATTTTGAGAATAAGTCAATATTTTGTTATTAAAATCATTACAAAATTTTGTGTGTTTTAGCATTATCCTGTTTTTGTTTGTGTTGTAGATTTCTACTTTATAAGTTGGTGTGTATTTCATATAGCCATAGTTATGCATATTTCCTGTCTACTAATTTACTGTTGATTTACCTAAGTGCCAATACAGTTTCCATATATTTTCACAGTTTCCATATTCATTTCTCTGATATAAACAGATGTAAGGTTTGATCATAATCTTTTTATTCCCCCGCTTTAAAAAAGTGTGGGTATACTGTTTTACCTCTGTCTGTCCGTCCATCCGTCCGTCCATCCTTACGTCCGTCCGTCCATCCATCCGTCTGTCCGTCCCATGAATGTTTTTCGTCGCCAGGAACTACATCATAAGGATTTCTGAAATTTGGTTTCAGGGTTTATATAAGTCAGCTATACCGTGTGATGCGTTTTCAGATTCATCACTCAACAACAAATGCATATTTGGGCTGGGGGTATCATCAGTGAGCAGTAGCTCACAGTTTCACTTGTTTTATCTGACTTTATTTCATGTTGATTTTCCTTACTGTAGTTAACATTATTACTCTTAGACAGCTACCAGTCAGGTTTATGTGAATCTTCATATTGTGTTTTTGCTTTGATTACTGTTAATTCAGAAATTATTTTGTACATTTATTATTGCGATTTATGAAGAATAGATAACAATGGGAGATTATTTATTGCAATTTCAGGGAAATCTACATACAGATATATGCATCATATATCGGAATGTGAGTTTTTATTATTGTCAGATTTGCTCAGTTGCATTTTTAGTATTTATAAAAGCCTCACAATAATTTCTGAATTTACAGTATATGCCTCTAATTTATATTTGTTTTTTTGTTATTAAAACTTAATTCATTTTAGACTCGGCAGCATGCACGTCCTAGTCCAGAGAGGTTAGAAGCCAGAATATGGGCAATAGAAAAGAAACAAGAAACAGTTATAGATCTGGTTCAAGATATGAGAAATAGACATACAGAACTAGAATCTACCATTAAGGGGCTAAAGGTATGTCTCAAACTTAATGAACATACTTCAAATTATATTTATGATTGAAGTTTTGGTAGTGAAGAAGTAGTTTCCAAATTTCAAATTCTCTGCTTACAGGTTCTCTCTATCTTCTACAGTTTTTCCAAAACACAAAAAAAATTCCAACTGGTCCTTTGCTTGATCTACAGGTGCTTGTCAATGTAAGAAGTTGTAGCTGCTGCAGAGTTTTACTTGATCCTACCCTAGATTAATGGGCTATTCAATGAGATGCAAGTAATTTATTGAAACCCTGACAGATACTTTCTGCTTTAAATGGTGAAAATTATATAAAAAGTAAAAAAAATGATTTCAGACAATGTTTTTGATGTATCATTTGTAATTATATATAGAAATATTTACATGAACCAATATTTTCCCCATCTTTTACATATGGAAACTCTTAGGTTGTTGTGATTAAATGCATATTGTTTTTTTTAAGTACTTCTTTCACAATTTTGCAAATTGGCCTGAATGAGTCTTTATTAACCTCTATGCTTTAGATATTTGATGGAATCAGTTTAATAAAAGACTTAATAGTTGTTATTACCAGGATGTAATTTTTTGTCGAGCCTGCGACATAGGGATAGTGATCCGGCGGCGGCGGCGTTAGCTAACTTCTTAAAAGCTTTATATTTTAGAAGGTGGAAGGTCTGGATGCTTCATACTTTGTATATGGATGCCTCATGTTACGAAGTTTCCGTCAGTCACATGTCCAATGTCCTTGACCTCATTTTCATGGTTCAGTGACTACTTGAAAAAAAAGTTCAGATTTTTTGTAATGTTAGATTCTCTCTTATTATAAGTAATAGGATAACTATATTTGGTATGTGCGTACCTTGCAAGGTCCTCATGCCCGTCAGACAGTTTTCACTTGACCTCGACCTCATTTCATGGATCAGTGAACAAGGTTAAGTTTTCGTGGTCAAGTCCATATCTCAGATACTATAAGCAATAGGTCTAGTATATTCGGTGTATGGAAGGACTGTAAGGTGTACATGTCCAACTGGCAGGTGTCATCTGACCTTGACCTCATTTTCATGGTTCAGTGGTTATAGTTAAGTTTTTGTGTTTTGGTCTGTTTTTCTTATACTGTATGCCATAGGTCTACTATATTTGGTGTATGGAATGATTGTAAGGTGTACATGTCTAGCGGGCAGGTGTCATTTGACCTTGACCTCATTTTCATGGTTCAGTGGTCAAAGTTAAGTTTTTGAGTTTTGGTCTTTTTTTCTAATACTATGTGCAATAGTTCAACTATATTTGGTATGTGCGTACCTTGCAAGGTCCTCATGCCCGTCAGACAGTTTTCACTTGACCTCGACCTCATTTAATGGATCAATGAACAAGGTTAAGTTTTGGTGGTCAAGTCCATATCTCAGATACTATAAGCAATAGGTCTAGTATATTCGGTGTATGGAAGGACTGTAAGGTGTACATGTCCAACTGGCAGGTGTCATCTGACCTTGACCTAATTTTCATGGTTCAGTGGTTATAGTTAAGTTTTTGTGTTTTGGTCTGTTTTTCTTATACTGTATGCCATAGGTCTACTATATTTGGTGTATGGAATGATTGTAAGGTGTACATGTCTAGCGGGCAGGTGTCATCTGACCTTGACCTCATTTTCATGGTTCAGTGGTCAAAGTTAAGTTTTTGAGTTTTGGTCTTTTTTTCTAATACTATGTGCAATAGTTCAACATATTTGGTATGTGCGTACCTTGCAAGGTCCTCATGCCCGTCAGACAGTTTTCACTTGACCTCGACCTCATTTCATGGATCAATGAACAAGGTTAAGTTTTGGTGGTCAAGTCCATATCTCAGATACTATAAGCAATAGGTCTAGTATATTCGGTGTATGGAAGGACTGTACGGTGTACATGTCCAACTGGCAGGTGTCATCTGACCTTGACCTCATTTTCATGGTTCAGTGGTTATAGTTAAGTTTTTGTGTTTTGGTCTGTTTTTCTTATACTATATGCAATAGTTCAACTATATTTGGTGTATGGAAATATTTTATGATCTATTTGGCAGTCACACAGGTTTTATTTGACCTTGACCTCATTTTCAAGGTTCATTGCTCAGTGTTAAGTTTTTGTGTTTTGGTCTGTTTTTCTAAAACTATAAGCAATAGGTCAACTCTATTTGTTGTATGGAAGAATTGTTAGCTGTACATGCCTGCCTAGCATGGTTCATCTGACCTTGACCTCATTTTCATGGTTCATTGGTCAATGTTTAGTTTACTTGGTTAATGTTAAGTTTATGTGACAGTTGTAATAAAGCTTTATATTTAGGACTATCAACATAATATCAATGATTAGTAAAGAAGGCGAGACATTTCAGCGTGTGCACTCTTGTCTGAAATTAGGCATACATGTCGTTTGTTGATGTGGTTCATAAGTGTTTCTCGTTTTTGTCGAGCCTGCGACTTTTGTCGCAGAAAGCTCGACATAGGGATAGCGATCCGGCTACGGCGGCGGCGGCGTTAGCTGACTTCTTAAAAGCTTTATATTTTATAAGATGGAAGACCTGGATGCTTCATACTTTGTATATGGATGCCTCATGTTACGAAGTTTCCGTCAGTCACATGTCCAATGTCCTTGACCTCATTTTCATGGTTCAGTGACTACTTGAAAAAAAAGTTCAGATTTTTTGTAATGTTAAATTCTCTCTTATTATAAGTAATAGGATAACTATATTTGGTATGTGCGTACCTTGCAAGGTCCTCATGCCCGTCAGACAGTTTTCACTTGACCTCGACCTCATTTCATGGATCAGTGAACAAGGTTAAGTTTTCGTGGTCAAGTCCATATCTCAGATACTATAAGCAATAGGTCTAGTATATTCGGTGTATGGAAGGGTTGTAAGGTGTACATGTCCAACTGGCAGGTGTCATCTGACCTTGACCTCATTTTCATGGTTCAGTGGTTATAGTTAAGTTTTTGTGTTTTGGTCTGTTTTTCTTATACTGTATGCAATAGGTCTACTATATTTGGTGTATGGAATGATTGTAAGGTGTACATGTCTAGCGGGCAGGTGTCATCTGACTTTGACCTCATTTTCATGGTTCAGTGGTCAAAGTTAAGTTTTTGAGTTTTGGTCTTTCTTTCTAATACTGCATGCAATAGGTCAGCTATATTTGGTGTATGGAATGATTGTAAGGTGTACATGTCTAGCTGGCAGGTGTCATCTTACCTTGACCTCATTTTCATGGTTCAGTGGTCAAAGTTAAGTTTTTGAGTTTTGGTCTTTTTTTCTAATACTATATGCAATAGTTCAACTATATTTGGTGTATGGAAATATTTTATGATCTATATGTCAGTTACGCAGGTTTTATTTGACCTTGACCTCATTTTCAAGGTTCATTGCTCAGTGTTAAGTTTTTGTGTTTTCGTCTGTTTTTCTTTAACTATAAGCAATAGGTCAACTATATTTGTTGTATGGAAGAATTGTTAGCTGTACATGCCTGCCTAGCATGGTTCATCTGACCTTGACCTCATTTTCATGGTTCATTGGTCAATGTTTAGTTTACTTGGTTAATGTTAAGTTTATGTGACAGTTGTAATAAAGCTTTATATTTAGGACTATCAACATAATATCAATGATTAGTAAAGAAGGCGAGACATTTCAGCGTGTGCACTCTTGTGTTTAAATGTTTAACTCTGGTAATCTATAGAATTCATTTTGAAACTTGGAACACAGCACACAATTCATATATATAAGTAGAATATCGGTATTAAGTTCTGACATGTAATGATAACTTATCGCCTGTCAATCTAGATAATTAATGATATTCGTGTTATTTTCATTAGTGTATATAGTTAGGTTAATATAATGTTTTAATACATAAACAAGTTATCAGTTAAATTGTTGAAAAAAGGTATGGAATGTGGGGCACTTGAAATTCATCATTGTTCCAACTGCTCCAATTATTTTTGTAGCGGTAGTACTAAGTTGGAAGACAATATTTGACTTTGTATGTAAATCTTGAAATAGAAGCACATAATTATACATTGTTATAAGAATATTGAAACTTTGCAGGATTTGCTTTTAAGCCAGAGACAACCACCTCCTCCGCCTCCACAGATGTACCCTTCACCATACGCTGGATCAATGTACAGACCTCAATACCAACCTCCACCACCTCCCATGATGCATCAGCCAGCATACGGCTATCCAATGTCACCTGGACCAGGAGGTCGACCAATACCTAGCCGTGTTGGTAGGACCAGTCAGTATATACCACAGCCAGACATAGAAGATGAGTTTTACGATGGTGATTTTTATGAAGACAATGGCTCAGGACAGGGAATTACAGGACAGGACACAAGTGGTTGGACAGTAAATCATAAACCTGGAATGGAAGGTACGGTTTTCAGTTGTAAAAAGTTATTAAAACAGAGGGTGGTTTCAAATAGATATAGTTTCTAAGTTGTTATTCTTATTTGGGTGTTTCCATTGTATATCACTGTGGGAAATCAACAAAGGAATGATCAAGTAATTACAAATCAAGCAGCAGAGTGTAACATTGTAATGAATGATAGAAATCTAATATTTATTTATAGACACAGTCACAATATAAACACTAATGAATGATAGAAATCTAATGTTTATTTATAGACACAGTCACAGTATAAACAATGTAATGAATGAAAGAAATCTAATATTTATTTATAGACACAGTCACAGTATAAACACTAATGATAGAAATCTAATGTTTATTTATAGACACAGTCACAATATAAACACTGTAATGAATGATAGAAATCTAATGTTTATTTATAGACACAGTCACAGTATGCACTGTAATGAATAAAAGAAATCTAATATTTATTTATAGACAGTCACAATATAAACACTAATGAATGAAATCTAATGTTTATTTATAGACAGTCACAATATAAACACTAATGAATGAAATCTAATGTTTATTTATAGACACAGATATAGTATAAACACTGTAATGAATAAAAGAAATCTAATATTTATTTATAGACAGTCACAATATAAACACTAATGAATGAAATCTAATGTTTATTTATAGACACAGTCACAGTATAAACACTGTAATGAATGATAGAAATCTAATGTTTATTTATAGACACAGTCACAGTATGCACTGTAATGAATAAAAGAAATCTAATATTTATTTATAGACAGTCACAATATAAACACTAATGAATGAAATCTAATGTTTATTTATAGACACAGATATAGTATAAACACTGTAATGAATGACAGAAATCTAATATTTATTTATAGACACAGTCGCAGTATAAACACTGTAATGAATGAAAGAAATCTGATGTTTATTTATAGACACAGTCACAATATAAACACTAATGATAGAAATCTAATGTTTATTTATAGACACAGTCACAGTATAGACACTGTAATGAATGATAGAAATCTAATATTTATTTATAGACACAGTCACAATATAAACACTAATGATAGAAATCTAATGTTTATTTATAGACACAGTCGCAGTATAAACACTGTAATGAATGACAGAAATCTAATGTTTATTTATAGACACAGTCACAGTATAGACACTGTAATGAATGATAGAAATCTAATGTTTATTTATAGACACAGTCGCAGTATAAACACTGTAATGAATGAAAGAAATCTAATGTTTATTTATAGACACAGTCACAATATAAACACTAATGATAGAAATCTAATGTTTATTTATAGACACAGTCGCAGTATAAACACTGTAATGAATGAAAGAAATCTAATGTTTATTTATAGACACAGTCACAATATAAACACTAATGATAGAAATCTAATGTTTATTTATAGACACAGTCACAATATAAACACTAATGATAGAAATCTAATGTTTATTTATAGACACAGTCGCAGTATAAACACTGTAATGAATGACAGAAATCTAATGTTTATTTATAGACACAGTCACAGTATAGACACTGTAATGAATGATAGAAATCTAATGTTTATTTATAGACACAGTCGCAGTATAAACACTAATGAATGAAAGAAATCTAATGTTTATTTATAGACACAGTCACAGTATAGACACTGTAATGAATGATAGAAATCTAATGTTTATTTATAGACACAGTCACAATATAAACACTAATGAATGATAGAAATCTAATGTTTATTTATAGACACAGTCACAGTATAGACACTGTAATGAATGATAGAAATCTAATGTTTATTTATAGACACAGTCACAGTATAAACACTAATGAATGAAAGAAATCTAATGTTTATTTATAGACAGTCACAATATAAACACTAATGAATGAAATCTAATGTTTATTTATAGACACAGTCACAGTATAAACACTGTAATGAATGATAGAAATCTAATATTTATTTATAGACACAGTCACAATATAAACACTAATGATAGAAATCTAATGTTTATTTATAGACACAGTCGCAGTATAAACACTGTAATGAATGAAAGAAATCTAATGTTTATTTATAGACACAGTCACAGTATAGACACTGTAATGAATGATAGAAATCTAATGTTTATTTATAGACACAGTCACAGTATAAACACTAATGAATGATAGAAATCTAATGTTTATTTATAGACACAGTCACAATATAAACACTAATGAATGAAATCTAATGTTTATTTATAGACACAGTCACAGTATAAACACTGTAATGAATGATAGAAATCTAATATTTATTTATAAACACAGTCACAATATAAACACTAATGATAGAAATCTAATGTTTATTTATAGACACAGTCGCAGTATAAACACTGTAATGAATGAAAGAAATCTAATGTTTATTTATAGACACAGTCACAGTATAGACACTGTAATGAATGATAGAAATCTAATGTTTATTTATAGACACAGTCACAGTATAAACACTAATGAATGATAGAAATCTAATATTTATTTATAGACACAGTCACAATATAAACACTAATGATAGAAATCTAATGTTTATTTATAGACACAGTCGCAGTATAAACACTGTAATGAATGAAAGAAATCTAATGTTTATTTATAGACACAGTCACAGTATAGACACTGTAATGAATGATAGAAATCTAATGTTTATTTATAGACACAGTCACAGTATAAACACTAATGAATGATAGAAATCTAATGTTTATTTATAGACACAGTCACAATATAAACACTAATGATAGAAATCTAATGTTCATTTATAGACACAGTCACAATATAAACACTGTAATGAATGATAGAAATCTAATATTTATTTATAGACACAGTCACAGTATAGACACTGTAATGAATGATAGAAATCTAATGTTTATTTATAGACACAGTCACAGTATAAACACTAATGAATGATAGAAATCTAATATTTATTTATAGACACAGTCACAATATAAACACTAATGATAGAAATCTAATGTTTATTTATAGACACAGTCGCAGTATAAACACTGTAATGAATGAAAGAAATCTAATGTTTATTTATAGACACAGTCACAGTATAGACACTGTAATGAATGATAGAAATCTAATGTTTATTTATAGACACAGTCACAGTATAAACACTAATGAATGATAGAAATCTAATGTTTATTTATAGACACAGTCACAATATAAACACTAATGATAGAAATCTAATGTTCATTTATAGACACAGTCACAATATAAACACTGTAATGAATGATAGAAATCTAATATTTATTTATAGACACAGTCACAGTATAGACACTGTAATGAATGATAGAAATCTAATGTTTATTTATAGACACAGTCACAATATAAACACTAATGATAGAAATCTAATATTTATTTATAGACACAGTCACAATATAAACACTAATGATAGAAATCTATTGTTTATTTATAGACACAGTCGCAGTATAAACACTGTAATGAATGATAGAAATCTAATGTTTATTTATAGACACAGTCACAGTATAGACACTAATGATAGAAATCTAATGTTTATTTATAGACACAGTCACAGTATAGACACTGTAATGAATGATAGAAATCTAATGTTTATTTATAGACACAGTCACAGTATAGACACTGTAATGAATGATAGAAATCTAATGTTTATTTATAGACACAGTCACAGTATAAACACTAATGAATGATAGAAATCTAATGTTTATTTATAGACACAGTCACAGTATAGACACTGTAATGAATGATAGAAATCTAATGTTTTTTTATAGACACAGTCACAGTATAAACACTAATGAATGATAGAAATCTTATATTTATTTATAGACACAGATGCAGTATAAACACTGAAGACTATACTTTACCATGTCTGCAAAATTGCACTTGCATTTTGTATCCTTAACTTCTGCTAAAGACATGACCAAATTTCAATAAATCTTGCCCAAAATCTTCAGTTCCAAATTCTGCATTTGATATTAATTGTTTTACCTGTATTTTTTGGGGGGTTTACAATAGCAAAACGAAAATTTGATATACCTTTAAAAAGGGAGCAAGGGTTAGAACTTGTGAGGTGTGCTAATTTGTGTGTGTGTGTGTTGCATTCAGTTTTTTATCCAGACCTAAAATCCGCAAGTGGGAATTATATTGTTTATAAAGTGCTTTAAGAAATAACAGAAAACTGAAATGCTGTTAAGCTTTTCACTGAATGTCTTCCCATTTAAATCACGTCAAAAGTATTTATGTATCTTAGCATTAATATCAGATGTAAAATTTATGAAATGTTGTAAAGGCTCTTAAAACAAAGACAAAAAACTAGCAAATTACCTATAATTCTACACAGCGTTCCATTTAATTACTATTGATATATTTCCAGGTGTGAGTAATCTTGGTCATCCATCACAAACTCAGCAAATGCCTCCTGCAGGATTTTTTGCCCAAGCATTAAGAGGTCAAGCTCTTCAGTTCCAACAAGGTCAGATAATGACAGGACAAGTTGGGAGACAAGGACCACCTATGATGAGTTCTGGTTTAGTCTCCATGTCTACAACACAATCAGTCAATTCAGGCATGTACCCTGTTCCTGGTGCCCAGCCACAGTCTACAGGTATGATTCCTGGTATGATGCCAGGACAGTCTCATGGTCAGGTTTCATCCCAGATGGCTGGACAAGTCCAAGGACAGCTTGCAGAATTGTTAAGTACCAATACCTGCCAGCCAAGAATGATAAGGACAGAGATTCCTAAGCCACCTGGTTAGTAAAGGATTTAGATCAGGTTATTTTATCTCATTTGGATGATTGGGAGCATCCTGCTAAAATCAAGATAATGTTGATAAACTAAAAACACATGTATGCGAACCGTTACGATTTTTCTATAATTGTTACGAATTTAAAACCAAAATCACGGTGTTACGATTAACAGTATGTTTGTTACAGAATTTTCTTTATTACCGATCTGGAACAGTTCCCTGTTTAGATATCATTTTGATTATCAGGACGCTTCATCTTTGGTTATAATTGTCTAACAATAAGCGCTTGAGTGTTTTGGATTATTAAATTCTTTTGCTCATCTCAGGATTATCTATAGACGAAAGCGATCTATCCATTTCCTGTTAGATTCCGAATAATTAATGAACGCACCAAGTCTTTGTTTTCAATTTTACAATGTCTGATGGAACAAAAAATGCTGCAGTGGGGTTAAACATGTTTTGTGAGATCTCAATCATTCCCCTATACCTCTAGCCAATGCCTTTTGCAAATATTGAGAACAAGACTTCCAACATTGTTCAAAGGTTTAACATGTTGATGGCACTTCTTCCACATTATGCCAGATTTTTTCTCAACTGCAAAGGTATTTACATGTAGTACCATTAAGCACCACCAGGAAATTTGTAAGCGGTCATCACGTCTCCTAAACGTTTGTTTCACACTAGTCTTCCCACAGCTAGAGCACCATCATACATATGGACAATAACTACCTTCAACAGAAAACCTCAGGCGTCTACAATAACTTTTTTTTCAACTTGTCCAGTAGGACAAGTACATACCAAAACTTACTTGTCCAAATGAAATTGTAACTTGTCCAAAAAAAATCTTAATAATGACCTTTTTTGCATTTTAAGTTGATTCAAGGAACAAAATGAATTAAAACAATAGAACAGAATTTGATTTATATCTTTTGAAATACTTTTCAAAAATATGAGTTGAGAACAACTGAATCTAGTCATGTCACAGGACTTGGGTTCTAGCTTTCTTCTATGCCAAAGTCTCATCAGACTCTGCACATGAAGCACCGTCTGATAGGCCTGTCAATGTACACTCATTGGATTTGTATCTTGGTTTTTAAGTTGAAAAAAGTTTTTTCAAATGCAATCAATAAAAAAAAGAAGATGAGGTATGATTGCCAATGAGACAACTCTCTGCAAGAGACCAAATGACACAGAAATTAACAACTATATGTCACCGTATTGCAAGTATTGTTTTTTTCTACATATGATCAAATATGATTTTGTGAATTTTATGGTACATAATTTCTTCATTTTTATTTAAAAAATATTATTTGCTAAAAAAATTACTGGTATGGTATTTATTATAAAGCAACAGAATAAGGTCCGAAAACGAGGTACTGATTTGTCTTGGTCCCGAAATGTCTCCTGCATTGCCAAACTGTCTATTTATCATGTCTATTAAATATGTCTCCTACGGTGCCAAACTGTCTATTAAATTTGGAGCCGAATCATTTCCGAGCTGGTGACGAACTGTCTTGAAAAGTTACCTTATCTACAAAGCGCATAGCTGATTCAGATCAGTAATACTGGTTTTCGAGAAAAGTATGCCTTTAACCTCTTAAAAAGTACCTGACAAAGAACCAGTTTTAAAGTATCGATTGCAAGTAAACATGTCAAATTAATACTTGTTTTTATCTTCTTTTCTTGTTTTTTGTTTATAATTACTTTGTTCATCAAAGTTGGATTAAATTTATTTTCTGCAGAATAATTTTACTTGTCCTGTCGGACAAGCTTGATATAGCTTTTATTTGTCCGACCTTTTTTTCCTCTGGTACCGGACAATCAGACAAGCGTTATTGTCGAGGCCTGAACCTAATTCATAGATAAACAGGATCATTACAGAGACTGTAATTGGCTGTTGCTTAACAATCAACAACAAACATTATGGAAATGTACATATGAAAATAACACAGTTACCATATTTTCGTGCTTGATATTGAAAAATTATGAATGAAATACATAAAATGTCTGGTGAATGATTCCACATTGAATGTAACAGTTTGCAGAATCCTTTCATGAATTTAATTTTAGATAATCTCATTTTCAGAGCCGCAACGACCTGTATATGGCACTTCACCAGCAGCACAAAATATAGGTACTGTAAGTTCATCAAATGCTACTCCCACAACTTTACCACTGTTAGGCAGTCTCCTAGCTGCTTCAACATCACCTGACAAACCATTAGCTAATCCTGTTTCTATGGTTACTTCAGTTGCTCCTGGTTCTTCAGCACCAAAAGGAACCTTTAGTTTTGGACAACAACCTTTTACAACAGGTACCCAGTCACCATTCAGTTTTGGACAAGTGTCATCGACTACTCCAGAGGGTGGTCAGAATTTGTTTACCTCACCACAGAAGGCGTCTACAACCACTCCTGGTGCTGCTGGGTATATATTTCCATCCCCTCAAAAGGAAAATATTTTTGCTGGAAAATCGTCAAGGGAGACAAGTCCTGTAAAATCTCCATCAAAAGATCATACAGATGAATATGAACCTAATGTTGATTTCAAACCCGTCATAGATTTGCCTGATCTTGTTGAAACAAAAACAGGAGAAGAGGAAGAAGAAGCTGTTTTCTGTGAACGGGCAAAATTATTTAGATTTGATGATGGACAATGGAAGGAAAGAGGAACTGGAGAACTAAAACTCTTACGTCATAAACAAACAAAACGTGTTCGATTATTAATGAGACGAGAACAAGTTTTGAAAGTTTGTGCCAATCATTTCCTTACTAAAGAAATGAAACTTTCTCCTATGCAGTCTTCTAAAAAGGCATGGTGTTGGAATGCTCAGGACTTCTCTGAGGGAGAAATTCAGATCGAAAAATTAGCAGTTCGTTTCAAAGATGAGGACCTTGCTTTGAAATTCAAGACAACTTTTGAAAAACTGCAGTCTGAACTTGATCAAGTAAAATCAAATCAAGCGCAAAAAGAGCCAGCTAAAACAGTGACCACAAATAAACCATCACTTGGTTCAATGTTCAAGAAAGAGGAGGGATCCTGGTCGTGTCCCGCTTGCTTGGTATCAAATAAATCAGATGTTCAGAAATGTGCTGCTTGTCAAACACTGAAGCCAGGTCTGAAACCAGAGGATGTTAAACAGACAGATTCAAAATCTTCCAACATATTTGGTTCTACATCAAGTAAGTAATTATGCAGTCTCCTTCTGTTAAGTTATAATATAGTTTCACTCAAAGAGAAAGGAATTTAGACGTCCGACATACAGGCTATGATTAATGTGATATACACTTAATTAGCTGATGCAGTTCTAAATTAATTCAATGGGGAAAACTTAAAGCTTAAGTGTAGAAAGCAAAAGATATATTCAATGGCATGGGATGCAATATATTTAAAGGGGCATACATAGAAAACTTAATGTATCTTATGTCATCTTATTGTGTGAATTTAGAACTCTAGTGATCATGGTGATAGCAGTTATCAGCTGATGAGCATGTATCACTTATAAGAGATTTAGTTTATGATGATCAAAGAATCTAAAAATTTATTCATGAATAAGAATTCTATAAGCTTCAAGAAAATTTATCCCAAACGATTAGAAATACAGTTTACACATGTTGCTCAGTATTTCTCTTTTGAAAATATATGAAAGTAAAAAATGTTACCTCAGACAGATCTTGTTTATTTTGATAAAGAAGAATAGAGTAGACTTAATATGTGACAGTGACGTTCTAAATATATATACTGAATCTACTTTCACTTCATCCACTGGCTAGATCTATGGTCAGTAGGTGTCATACTTCAGCAGTGTAGTTACACATTATAATAAGGCCTAAGAAAAACATATGTCAGCCATAAAAAGAAATAGGTCAGTCAGTTGGGATTCTCTCCTTATTTTTTGGCATATCAATATTTACCTGTTTCCTCCAAGTTTTATCCCTATTTGAACAAAGCAACTGGTAATAGACTATTTTCAAATTACTGACTTTTGACTCTGGAGTTTATATTTTTTCGACAGGTTACCTACTCTGCCGTAGGACATCCTGGTACTCTGTCAAGTAAGAGCAACTTACAGAAGTAAATTCAAGCTTATAATCGGTACAATTTGTGGGGAAAATTAACTGTTATATGTTTTCTATACAGGACAAAATCATCAGAAAACAGTAAACTTTCCCCCCATATTGCACCGATTATGTGTTTGATTTTTCTTGTTTTGGTTGCCTTGACCGAGTACCAGGATGTCCTACCATAGAGTAGGTAACCTGTCGAAAGAATTTAAAATCCGGAGTCAAAAGTCAGTAATATGAAAATAGTCTATTCCCACTTGAACAATGGTATATTTGTAATTTCCAATGTTATGACAACTTTTCCACTTGTTTATGGTCAATCTTATTACAAATATTTGACTGAAAAATACAGAGGAATACACTACCGTAGAAAGGCTTGTATAGTCCGCGGTTTTATTCTCCAAAATTGGACCTTCCAGACGGGGTGCGGACTATAGAGTACAATAAGCAAGAAATAAGAGAAAAATTTCAATTTCGCGGGCGAGGTGGTTTGTTTACGTTCCGCTATCTTTGTTATTTATATTGTAGAGGGCGCTCTTATCATTTTTCAAACTAATAATTTTAACTCATCCATATTAATAAGTTATTTTTATTCAATATCAAATTAATACTGATAAATATAAAAACTAAACCTTTCATTACAAATTTCTCGTTTCTTTTCAATGCATTGGTTGAAATAAACTGGTATCTGCTTGATTGAAACGATACAAACATAGTGAAAAAGACAACCGTAAACCAGCTTAGAATTTGTAAACTACAAAACGTAATCGGTTATTGTTCGTTCCGTTTTGGTGTTTCATACTGACTAATATGGTTTGTATTAGCTTAAGACCCTTCAAACATTAATGTAATAGATATATTAAAGACTGTTTTACAAAAGGATGGAGCTGTTTTACTTTCAAAGTCGTATTATAGTGATATCTGTTATGTACGGATTTCGACTCTCACCGGTTAATTTCTTCTTTTACACGTGCTTTTTAAACTTCCTGTTTAAACATACACAAGTTTCTAAATTGTTTTTTAAGTGAATTAAACTTATTTTAACAATCATGAAGCGTTCTAGAATCATCTACAAGCAGTTTCAGCTTCTGTTTGATGATGGAAAACAGGTTTTTCCAAGAAAATGCCGCAAACGACCGCACAGGATTTGAAATTACCGGAGTTTCATTAGACCTTTTCTAACAGTTACAAAAAGTTTTTTTACCTAAAATTTCGCGGGGACAATTGTACGCGGACTATGTACCAGTGCGAACTATACAAGCCTTTCTACGGTACTCAAAATACACAAAACTTCATTTTTTGAAAATGCACTAAAATCATTTAGGGGGTTGGTTGGGAGGCAGGAAACATTTATATATTTTTGGCCTAATACAACTGTTTTTCTCTGATGAAATTCTCAGGAATTTTACAGAAAAGGAACACATTTCCTATTTATTTATTTTTTTGGCAACACTATAGCAATGATGTCTAAGGGCTGCATTAGAACTATTAAATGTATCTTCAAATAGAGATGCATGACTTATAATGCCATTTTTACTTAAGTATATGATCTATGTTTTATGCATATAATGCATTTGTTTTGTTTCTATTTTTGTGGTCGTATATTGGTATGACGTTGGCGTCATCGTCATTGTCGTCCGAAGACTCATTGGTTTTCGCACTCTAACTTTAGTTTAAGTGAATGGATCTCTATGACATTTTACCATAGGGTTCAATACCACAAAAGGAAGGTTGGGATTGATTTTGGGGGTTATGGTACCAACAGTTAAGGAATAAGGGGCCAAAAATAAGCATTTTTGTAACTTCCAGACATAACTTGTGTGTTAGTGTATGGATCTCTCTGACATTGTACCACAAGGTTCCATATCACAAAGGGAATGCTGGGATTGATTTTGGGGGTAATTGCCTCCAAATTTTAGGAATTAGGGGCAAAAAAGGGGCAAAAAAACAAGCCTTTTTCTAGATTCAGGACAATAACTTGTGTGTAAGTGTATGGATCTTTATGAAATTGTACTACAAGGTTCCGTATCACAAAGGGAAAGCTGGAATTGAGTTTGGGGGTAATTGCCCAAAACGTTTAGGAATAAGGGGCCAAAAATAAGCATTTTTCCAGTTTCCCGACAATAACTTGTGTTCAAGTATATAGATCTCTCTGAAAATGTACTGCAAGGTACCATACCACAAAGGGAAGGATGGGATTGATTTTGGGGGGAATTGCCTCAAAATTTTAGGAATTAGGGGCCAAAAAGGGGCAAAAAAACAAGCCTTTTTCTAGATTCAGGACAATAACTTGTGTGTAAGTGTATGGATCTTTATGAAATTGTACTATAAGGTTCCATATCACAAAGGGAAAGCTGGGTTTGAGTTTGGGGGAAATTGCCCAAAACGTTTAGGAATTTGGGGCCAAAAAACAAGCATTTTTTTAGTTTCCAGACAATAACTTGTGTTCAAGTGTATAGATCTCTCTGAAATTGTACTGCAAGGTACCATACCACAAAGGGAAGGCTGGGATTGAGTTTGGGTGTGATGAATCATAAGGGGGTTCAAAAAATTTTGGGGGAGGGATTTTTTTTTCCTTTTTATCCTTTTTAGCTCACCTGGCCCGAAGGGCCAAGTGAGCTTTTCTCATCACTTGGCGTTGTCCGTCGTCGTCGTCTCCCTCCGTCGTTGTTAGCTTTTTACAAAAAACTTCTCCTCTGAAACCACTGGGCCAAATTTAACCAAACTTGGCCACAATCATCATTAGGGTATCTAGTTTAAAAAATGTGTCAGGTGACCCAGCCAACCAACCAAGATGGCTGCCATGGCTAAAAATAGAACATAGGGGTAAAATGTAGATTTTGGCTTATATCTCTGAAACCAAAGCATTTAGAGCAAATCTTACATGGGGGTAAAATTGTTCATCAGGTCAAGATCTATCTGCCCTGAAATTTTCAGACAAATCTGATGAATCGGACAACCCGTTGTTGGGTTGCTGCCCCTGAATTGGTAATTTTAAGGAAATTTTGCCGTTTTTGGTTATTATCTTGAATATTATTATAGATAGAGATAAACTGTAAACAGCAAGAATGTTCAGCAAAGTAAAATCTACAAATAAGTCAACTTGACCAAAATAGTCAGTTGACCCCTTAAGGAGTTATTGCCCTTTATAGTCAACTTTTAACCATTTTTCGTAAATTTTTGTAATCTTTTACAAAAATCTTTCCTCTGAAACTACTAAGACAAATGTAACCAATCTTGTCCACAATCATCATTAGGGTATCTAGTTTAAAAAATGTGTCCGATGACCCTGCCTGCGAACCAAGATGGCCGACATGGCTAAAAAATAGTACATAGGGTAAAATGCAGTTTTTGGCTTGTATCTCTGAAACCAAAGCATTTAGAGCAAATCTGACAGGATAAAATTGTTCATTAGGTCAAGATCTATCTGCCCTGAAATTTTCAGACCAATCAAGCAACACGTTGTTGGGTTGCTGCCCCTAAATTGGTAATTTTAAGAAAATTTTGCAGCTTTTGGTTATTATCTTGAATATTATTATAGATAGAGATTAACTGTAAACAGCAATAATGTACAGCAAAGTAAGATCTACAAATAAGTCAACATGACCAAAATTGTCAATTGACCCCTTAAGGGGTTATTGCCCTTTATAGTCAATTTTTTACAATTTTCATAAACTTTGTAAACTTTTGTAAATTTTTACAAAATATTTTCCACTGTAACTACTGGGCCAAGTTCATTATAGATAGAGATAATTGTAAGCAGCAAGAATGATCAGTAAAGTAAGATCTACAAACACATCACCATCACCAAAACACAATTTTGTCATGAATCCATATGTGTCCTTTGTTTAATATGCAAATAGACCAAGGTGAGCGACACAGGCTCTTTAGAGCCTCTAGTTTTCTTTAAAATTTTCCATTTTAAATTGGTTATTTAGGATTTATATATAAAAGCAAATAATAATGATATGGTTTGAATTGGTAAATTAAAAATTTATAAGTTCTTAGACCACATTCATTCTGTGTCAGAAACCTATGCTGTGTCAAATATTTAATCACAATCCAAAGTCAGTGTGTATCAAGCTTGAATGTTGTGTCCATACTTGCCCCAACTGTTCAGGGTTCGACCTCTGGGGTCGTATCAAGCTGTGCCCAGCGAAGCATTTTATTTTAGTTTTTTTGAGATTTTTTTTTTTTTTTTTTGGTTGACAGGATTTAATGATTAATCCAAGTTGAATCTTGTTGCATTACCCAATACCAATATGCATAATAAGTCTTTTATTTAGTATAAATTATGTGTAAGTGATGTCGTAAAGTCCAGACCTCTCTATTAAGTGAGTAATTTAACTGTCAATAGAAGACAAATTGTAACTCACATGTGATTGCAGATATTCGTTTTACGTGATTCAGAGTTAAAAACATATACATTGATGAAATTTGTTGAAGTAAAATAATCCATACCTTATTTTTGAATTAATAGATGTGACAGAAATTATATTTTATTATCTTATTTACTAAACTAGTTATAGCAGAAATTATTAAAAGTTCAAATATTTTTACGAACAAGTTTTATCAAAGCAAAATGTTTGGAACTGTTTGTAAAAGCTTATGCTTAAAAACATATATGTAGTTAGAAAAAGTGTATATAATAAAAAAAAATATTGTATTTCATATTGCATGAACATGATGAAAGCAAAATAAAATTAAAATAACTAAAAATAATGGTTTCTAATATTTTTACAGGGAGATAATCAGTGTTCTCCCCAGGATTTTTGGATAGCACCAGGGTAACGCGTGTGAACAGCTTGGTGAAATGATTCATATAATCAGATGTGTCGCGTGGTGTCGCTATATTTCTAGTTACTGCAGTTTTTATGTCTCTTGTTTTAATTCTGTGGTACTGTGTTACATGTATGTCAGAATATTATTGGTTAAAAAGATCAATTAACAGTTTGTATACTTTTAATATTTTTTAAAAATAAATAAAACATGATTCATTACATGATATTCATCTAAATTTAATAAAGTAATTAAATATAAAATCCATGATCAATAAAAATAAAATATCATTCAAACAGGAACATATATATTGTTAGATATACTGTTCCCAGATTCAAAAGAGAACAAAAATGTTCAATTTAAAAAACTTTCTAGTTTCTAGAAAGAAAGTTGTTGTATGTGAAAGGATTCCTGTCATAAGGAGATATAAAATTAACAAGAACAAAATTGTGTTATAATTTGAACCAGTTTCTATCTTAAATTTTAATAAAAAGAAATTTTTCATAAATTTTAAAATATTTTGCCATAGATTTCATGTACATGTAAATATTAACCTTTCTTGTCTTTGGTGATAATCAAACATATATACAGACTTAATACTGCACTGAAATCTAAATCTTTATTTGTCATGATCCATTTAAAAAAAAATCCTAAATCTATAAATTTATCTTAGGTCTATAGATCTATAAGTCATATTCAATGTCAACAACATTTTCCCGCCAAAATGACAGGAAGTAGATATAAATAGATTTAACATGTGCTTATGGATTAAAATTGCAAGATCACTTCTGTTATTCATTAATGATCATATGGATATAGATATCCAGTTTGAAGGTACAGTCATGCATTTTATTTATAAAATAGAATAGATTGCAGTTAATTGTAAATAATCTTGAATATTCTACGTGAACTAACTGGGTCATATGATCCTTCCCCTTTGAATTACTTGTTGACAGTTTGAAACCGGAATATCATGCAATAACTATGTCATAATTAAAGATAATTTTGGCCATGGTTTAATCAGAGACATATAAAACTATAATATAAGTATTGAGCTAACTTTATAATGTACAAAATATGTACCGTCGTATGTACAACTATCGGGTCAAAACGGTTTGTGTACAAAGTATTTGCCGACTTGTCAGGTGGTGAGTGAAGCCTTAAAATAGTTATCTTTGATCATAAAGTTATGATCTCTAAATTAAAACACAAAAGAATCATGTAAAAAGTGTTAATTACATCGATTAAATCCAATCAACAAAGGTTAACCTCATGAAGGTAAATCGATCACGTGGTGTAAACAATCCGTGTTGAACTGGTTTGAACTGGTCAAATTTCACCTGGAGTTTTATACCGCACGGAAAAGATTTAACAAGTCGTTTAAAACTTTACCGATTTACGATTTTTTAACTGAAAATTTTAGCACCACGGAGAAAAATTATACATCGCGGTAAGAACGGTACCACCACGGTAAAAAATTATACATCGCGGGCCCGCGGTCCTTTAAGGGCCTGGGGAGAACACTGAGATAATTCATTATTTTATGGTATAAAATAAATTAAGATTTTTAGCTTGAAATAAAGAAATTTAAAAGTTTTATGATGGTTATCAAGCTGACTAGTTAAATTAAATCAGTGAAAAAAATTCACCCAGTTTGTTATAGATTTACCATGATAACTTTTATTTGATTTAAAAGAAAAAATATATAACTCGCCCATGGAATTAATGATATTTTGCATTTACCTTGTCCATCTGTTTGTCTGTCCATCTATCTGTATATTTTGTTTTCTATTACACAACTTCTGTATTAAGTAATGATTGTTATTTGGTCTTGAACTTTGAAATGTTGCATTGTACTGTTTAGGGGTTTTCAGATATCTCAGGCAGTCACTTCCTGTTGACCATACTTTGAATTTTTATAATACCCACTGAGCATAAGATTTTTTGTCAATGTCTATTAGCGATGAGGTGATACTTTGCACAAATCTTTGTTTCATATATATTTTAGTTACAATTTTAATGTTTTCTTTTTCAGGTGGTGTCAAGTTTGGAAATACAACATCGGATCAAAAATCTTCAGGCTTTTCCTTTCAATCAGGGGCAAAACCAACATCTGCTGCAGACATCAAATTTGGTCAGACAACAAAAGCAGCTGACAGCACAACTCCTGCTACAGGAAGTGGATTCAAGTTTGGTGGACAAACAGTTTCTGCAATAAAAACAACAACAGCTGAAGCAGATACTAGCAAACCTCCACTCAGTGGTGGATTTAAATTCGGACAATTACCAGAGTCTGACAAAAATAAAGCAACCCCAGGAGCAGTAAGTTTTGGACAGACTGTCTCTTCCACTTCTACAACTGAACCCAGTAAGTCTACTTTAGGTGGCTTTACATTCCAACAAACAGCTAAACCATCTGGTTTCAGTTTTGGTGGAGAGACTAAGTCTAACACTTCCAAACCAGCTTCAACATTTACCTTTAAGCCCAGTGCTCCAATTACTACTGCCTCACCTTCCCCAGCTGTTACAGAAACAACTAACAAACCAGTGTCATTTAAGCCTAGCACGCCATTAGGGTCTTCAACAGTTATCCCTAAGCCTGAGCCTGCTAAAAAAGATGAAAAGAAAGGATTTGGGAATCAGTTTAAACCGAAAGAAGGAAGTTGGAAGTGTAATGGATGTCTTATGTCTAATAATGGTGATGCGCTAAAATGTCCTGCCTGTCAAACACTTAAACCTGGAGTTACTAAGGAGGAGGCTAAAGCGTCAGGTCAGCTTGAAAAGAAGGAGGCAAAGAAAGGATTTGGTGATTTGTTTAAACCTAAAGAGGGTGCCTGGAAATGTGATGGCTGCCTTGTTTCAAATAATGGTGATGTTCTCAAATGTCCTGCCTGTGGTATGTTGAAGCCAGGAGTTAAAAAGGAAGACCTACCAAAAGAAACGGAAAAGTCTTCAGCCTTTGGAAGTACTGCTGGTGGATTTAATTTTGGTGGAAAAGGAGGATTCACTTTTGGAACAGCTGGCAAATCTGATACTAAAGCTGGTTCTGGATTCACATTCCCTACACCAGATTCCACAAAGGACAAATCTGAATCCAATCCAGCCTCGGCTGGTTTTACTTTCACACCAACAAAATCAGATGTAGAGAAAAATAAACCAGCTTCTGCAGCCAAAGGTTTCAACTTTACATTACATCCATCCGCTACACCAGAAAAGAGCAGCGGTGGATTCAGTTTTACATTGTCACCATCAAAAGATGCAGGTCCAAAGTCTCCACCCACCGATGCTGAGGGTATGTACCTAAATAAAGACGGAGATGATGATCACATTCATTTTGAACCGATTATTGAACTGCCGAGTGTTGTTGATGTTGTCACTGGAGAAGAAGATGAAGAAGGTTTATTTCAACATCGTGCTAAACTGTTCAGATTTGTTGATGGTGAGTGGAAAGAACGCGGACTGGGTGACATCAAAATCTCCAAACATAAAGAAAGTGGAAAAGTTAGACTTCTGATGCGTCGAGCGCAAATTCATAAAATCTGTTTGAATCATTATTTAACCCAGGAATTAGAGTTAAAACCTATGCCAAAAACTGATGGAAAAGCATGGATCTGGTTTGCTATGGATTTCTCTGATGACGAACCTGCAATGCAACAATTAGCTGTAAAATTCAAAAATCAAGAAATAGCAACTGGTTTCAAAAAGGCATTTGACGATGCCAAAGCGAAACTTGAATCCTCTGTCACTACCCAGAAATCACCAGTAAAAAGTGTTGACAATTCTGATGATAGAACTGATGGTGTTGAATTTGTAAGAGAAGAGAAAGCTACAAAGGAACAAATAACAATGGCAAGACAATTTTTGCTACCCGACCACTTCTATTTGTATGAGAAGAAACCATCCTGTCCAGGCTGTATTGGTTGTGAGGATTACGAACCTGGGAAAAAAATCTCACTGGCAAAATCTAAAATTCCAGTTAAAGGTATGTTAGCTTTATTATTAATTTAAGGGGAATTTGACATTAAACATTTTCATGGTTTAAACATTGGAATATTTCGCTGATGAAATGTCTGTACAATATGATATTTTCAGAAATGTTTCAAGGCAGACAAATAGTTTCTGCAAAGTTTGAATTGTCATGCTATGAAGTGGCTCTTTTCACACAAAAAAATATAGATTTTAAAATTATCGCAAGTAAGAATTGAAAAGTTCATGACTTGCAATTATTTATCCTCAAATTTTGTTGTGAAACACCAGACAAAATAACACAAGAGACTAATATGTTTTATGTAACTGTACTTTCTTTTATAATTTGAATAATTTTTTAGCATCACCAGAGGAAAGAAGTAGTTTCATGAAGTGTCAAAATTATCTCTAATGTTCCATGAAATTTAAATTTAGTTTTAATACCATAACTCAGAGTTGGTGGCAAGGCTTCCAAAACGGTCATATATGCCGAACATTTGTATAATGTCCAGTAAAAGTCCGGTTCGGAAGAGCATGAAACGGTCATCTACTTTTTAGTTTTCAAGGCTTTAAGAGACGGTCATTTTAACATAATTCGCGATCTTTTTGACCCAACGTTTTGCCTTTAACAGCCACACATTTCCGGTCATAAAAGTGACATGATCATTAAGTACTATCAAAACAACCCCTACTTTAATACCTTCTCATTTTAATCAAGGCTAATTAGTTGTCAAACAGCTGAAATTTACCTGTTCAGGTGACAGGTAAACTATTTTGAACCGGACATTGATCGGTCTATTCAAAGTTATTTTCTTACATTTCAGCGGTTTGCATCTAAGTAATTTAGCCAAAAAGATTTAAATTATCAGAAATACGTTTACAAATATGATTTGATGAAAAAATTAAAAAGGTGAAACTGAAAAATCGTCATAACCACGTTGTTTGAACCTAGAGACATGTCTCTGTTTGAACAGTACACGTGTGCGCATGTGCGCAGGTGTGAAATTTAATTATGCATTCTCATTTCTTCAAAAAATGCTTAAATTGTCATTGATACCTTTATCTCATGTTTATTTCGAATATTTTCTTGAAGAAATAACGTAGAAAGAGCTACTTCCACTCATTCACGCTTTGCAAACGTACACGGAATTTACGTATCCGTCTCTGGTCCATGTTTTACCATTGTCAAGATAACATCCGGTATAAAAACGAAAGTAAAGTTTTTGACAGCGTTATTTTGCACAAATAATGAGTCTAATGCAGATATAAGTACGCTGATGTTGCACACTTCGAATGATGCACTGCCAATTTAACAGTTTACGTCAGAACTTCGAATTTGAATCAAAGAAAGTTTAATATCGTTTTTTTAATGTCAATCATTGGGATGGCCAACTCGGCAACTGATTACCATAATTGCCTTTTGTTTATTTAGTCTTAAGGGATTAAAATCGGGATAATTTATAAAATGTCCGGCTGGCTAAAAATAATTTTGGAAGCCAGACAAAATAACACAAGAGACTAATATGTTTTATGTAACTGTACTTTCTTTTATAATTTGAATAATTTTTTAGCATCACCAGAGGAAAGAAGTAGTTTCATGAAGTGTCAAAATTATCTCTAATATTCCATGAAATTTAAATTTAGTTTTAATACCATAACTCAGAGTTGGTGGTAATATGCATTTGCCTGGTTCATCTTTTTGAAACTTTTGTTGCATTTTATACAACTTTTGTATTATGGAATATGGGATATAATTTGTGTGATATGGAGTGCAGTACCATTAATCAGCAGAAAACATAACATTAAAGTACCAATAATTCTGCAGAAAGGTTTAGAATATAGTACCATTATTTCAATTCAAAAGAAAACATAAGAATATAGAACAATTAGTATGAAAATACAGTATATTTAGTTAAAAAAAAAAAGAAGAAATACAGTACAATTAGTTCATGAAAAACATAAAAGTATAGTACAATTAGCTCAGCAGAAATCATAAGAATATAGTACAATTACAAATAAAAAACACTATAATTAGGTCTGCAGAAAATTTAGTACCATTAGTTCAGCAGAAAACATAAAAATATAGTAGAGCTAATTGGGAACAGCAGAAAACAAGAGTTTCATGTGCAGTATGAAAGCAAGTTGTACCATTCATTTTTTAACAACACAACTATCCGTACGGTTTAACATAAGATTAATAATAAGATTGAATTGTTTTAGTTGTAGGTGATACAAACTCATCAAATGCCAAATCAAATTTATTTGGACAAAGCAGATCATCAGATTTACCAAAACCTAAATCTGAATCCAGCGTAATTGGATCAACAACAGTCAGTTCTTCTTCAGAAAAGAAAGAAGGAATGTTCGGTGGAGGAGCTACAGAATTCTCTTTCTCATCAATAGTTAAAGAATCTGAGACATCCTCGGGAGGTGTATTTGGCGGAGGAGGGGCTTTCTCTTTTTCTGATCTGGCCAAGCAAGCTGATAGTTCTACCTCACCAGGTTTTAAAGTTCAAGGTAAGATTTCTATATCAGATCTCGGACAACCTCTGGATAGTATTTGGTGGAGGAGAAGCTTTCTACTTTTCTGATCTGGCCATGCAAGCTGAATGTTCTACCTCACCAGGTTTTAAAGTTCAAGGTAAGATTTCTATATCAGATCTGGGACAACCTCAGGAGGGTATTTGGTGGAGGAGGAGCTTTTTCTGACCTGGCCAAGCAAGTGGAAAGTTCTACCTCACCAAGATTTAAAGTTGATGGTAAGATTTCTATATCCGATCTTAGACAACTTGAGGTATGCTGTTTTATTGGCAGGGTCAGCAATTTTTAAAGTTTGTGAATAGGTCTGTTTAAGGGGAACCACTTACCATGTGCCAATGATATTTGGTAGGCAGTTGTATTTAATAGCATGGGCACATCTCATTTCTGGATATTACTTGGGCTGCTCCCTCAGTCATGGTTAATTTACTTTGAATCTTGACTGTTATTTACATGAATTATTGATACTGTTAGATTTATGTAATTATACCCCACCCAACGAGTTGCGGAGGGTATAATGTTTTTGACCCGTCCGTCCGTCTGTCTCTGTCTGTCTGTCCGTCTGTCCTTCAGTCCGTCAGTCCTGTTTCTTGTCATCGCAACTCCTCTCAAACCATACAACAGAATTTCACGAAACCTTTTTAGATAATGACATACTATGTAGTTGTGCATATCGGCAGGAAATTACGATTCAATTCTTTTCTAGGAGTTACGCCCCTTTGAACTTATTTACTGTAATGTACTACTGCAACCTTTTGTCATTGCAACTCCTCTCAAACCACACAACAGAATTTCATGAAACCTTTTCAGATAATAAGGACATACTACATAGATGTGCATATCGACAGGAAATTATGATTCATTTTTTTTTCTGATACAATTTTTTTTTCTTACACTTATTTTATTTCTCCAATAACAATGTGGGGACGTGGGGTATGTGAGCGCGCTCACTAAGGTTCTTTCATTCTTGTTGTAAAAGCTTTAGTTTAGAGACTTTCGAAGTAAATTGAACCATGACCAGTGAAGCAGTTGAGACATTTCAGCTTTTGAACTCTTGTTTTTAGCTTCTTCAATGTTTTTATTCTAGATCACACCAAACAGTTCAGCTGGACAGGAACAGGACAGCAGTTATTTTCTACTGGTGCAGGTGATGGTAATGAAGAAGGGGCAGAAGATGCAGATGAGAGTGGTGCCACCTATGATCCTCAGTATGAACCAATTATAGATCTTCCTGACCTTGTTGATACTAAAACAGGTAATATTTTGATACAACAAACTACTTGGGTTATTACCAGGTCACAATTTTCTTATTTTATTTATATATATAATGTAAGAAAATGTGGTTTTATTGCCAAGGAGACAACTCTTCACAAGAGACCAAACGACACAAAAATTAACAACTATAAGTCACCGTACGGTGCCTTAATGTGTGAACAAAGATTAGTGTCACAGCAGTAGAAAAGAGCAGTGGGCAAGACATTGTCTGTGATTGCCATTCCTGTATTCCACTGCCTGGTGAATGACGACCATTGGTCCAACTTTAACATGTGCATTGCTGGTTGAGTCAGAGATGGTTGGAAGGTTCTGTCATGGATCAGAAGATCTTTGATCTGGATCACATCCTATGGCTATAGTAGGTGGGTCCAACTTTAACATGTGCATTGCTGATTGAGCCAGAGGTGGTTGGAAGGTCCTGTCATGGATCAGAAGAGCTTTGGTCTGGATTACATCATGGTGCTATAGTAGGTGGGTCCAACTTTAACTTGTGCATTGCTGGTTGAGCCAGAGGTGGTTGGAAGGTTCTGGCATGGACCAGAAGAGCTTTGGTCTGGATCACATCCTGGTGCTATAGTAGGTTGGTCCAACTTTAACTTGTACATTGCTGGTTGAGCCAGAGGTGGTTGGTAGGTTCTGTCATGGATCAGAAGAGCTTTGGTCTGGATCACATCCTGGTGCTATAGTAGGTGGGTCCAACCTCAACTTGTGCATTGCTGGTTGAGCCAGAGGTGGTTGGAAGGTTCTGTCATGGATCAGAAGAGCTTTGGTCTGGATCACATCCTGGTGCTATAGTAGGTGGGTCCAACTTTAACTTGTACATTGCTGGTTGAGTCAGAGGTGGTTGGAAGGTTCTGTAATGAATCTGAAGAGCATTGGTCTGGATCACATCCTGGTGCTATAGTAGGTGGGTCCAACTTTATCTTGTGCATTGCTGGTTGAGCCAGAGGTGGTTGAAAGATTCTGTCATGGATCAGAAGAGCTTTGGTCTGGATTACATCATGGTGCTATAGTAGGTGGGTCCAACTTTAACTTGTGCATTGCTGGTTGAGCCAGAGGTGGTTGGAAGGTCCTGTCATGGATCAGAAGAGCTTTGGTCTGGATTACATCATGGTGCTATAGTAGGTGGGTCCAACTTTAACATGTGCATTGCTGGTTGAGCCAGAGGTGGTTGGAAGGTCCTGTCATGGATCAGAAGAGCTTTGGTCTGGATTACTTCATGGTGCTATAGTAGGTGGGTCCAACTTTAACTTGTGCATTGCTGGTTGAGCCAGAGGTGGTTGGAAGGTTCTGGCATGGACCAGAAGAGCTTTGGTCTGGATCACATCCTGGTGCTATAGTAGGTTGGTCCAACTTTAACTTGTACATTGCTGGTTGAGCCAGAGGTGGTTGGTAGGTTCTGTCATGGATCAGAAGAGCTTTGGTCTGGATCACATCCTGGTGCTATAGTAGGTGGGTCCAACCTCAACTTGTGCATTGCTGGTTGAGCCAGAGGTGGTTGGAAGGTTCTGTCATGGATCAGAAGAGCTTTGGTCTGGATCACATCCTGGTGCTATAGTAGGTGGGTCCAACTTTAACTTGTACATTGCTGGTTGAGTCAGAGGTGGTTGGAAGGTTCTGTAATGAATCTGAAGAGCATTGGTCTGGATCACATCCTGGTGCTATAGTAGGTGGGTCCAACTTTAACTTGTGCATTGCTGGTTGAGCCAGAGGTGGTTGAAAGATTCTGTCATGGATCAGAAGAGCTTTTGTTAGGGCAGCTGCAAATGGTTTAAGGTAGTTTTCAGTAGTTTTCGGTCATATCAACTTGAAATATGGCATTTTAGGGATTTTATCCAGATTTCAGGGTTCACTGAACATGGAAATGCAATAGATTAAACATGCCTTGAGCATCACTGAAGAGTCATTTATTGTCCAAATGCACATCTAGTGCAGAATATTTGGTATCATTAATGTTATTACAGGTTTTGCTTCAGGTGGTTTATTGTGACATCAACTTAAAACCTAGTGCCCATATTCATTGTCAAGTGAACTATTTAATATATATTCCAAATTAAGGTTTTCAACTTAATAATGAATTTACTCATATACATGCAACTTCATGATTTTTCTCAACAGGAGAAGAAGACTTTGAAAAGATGTTCTGTCAAAGAGCTAAGCTGTTCAGATTTGATAAAGATGCCAACCAGTGGAAGGAAAAGGGACTTGGAGAAATGAAAATTTTGAGACATCTAGTCAACAGTAAGTATTTTAATTTGTACAATCAAAACATGATTGTATTATAATCTTTCTATTAACTCTGATAAGGTCAAAATTAGTCTAAACTGAACCTTTAAAATGCAGTACTGGGTTACAGGATCTTAAAATGGTGTTTACATTTCTTTTATGCCATTCCCTCAGTTTTTATAAGACCGCAAAAAAAATTTTGTGGTCGTATATTGGTATGACGTTGGCGGCGGCGTCGTCTTCCGAAGACGCATTAGTTTTCGCACTCTAACTTTAGTTTAAGTGAATGGATCTCTATGAAATTTTACCATAAGGTTCAATACCACAAAAGGAAGGTGGGGATTGATTTTGGGGGTTATGGTACCAACAGTTAAGGAATAAGGGGCCAAAAAGGGGCCAAAAATAAGCATTTTCTAGATTCCAGACAATAACTGTGGAACGGTGTATGGATCTCTCTGAAATTATACTACAAGTTTCCATACCACAAAGGGATGGTTAGGATTTGCTTTGGGGGGTTATTGCTCAAACCGTTTAAGAATTAGGGGCAAAAAAGGGGGAAAAACAAGGTTGTCCTCATTAATGGACAAATACTTTAGTACAAAACATAATTTAAAGCAGTGTTAGGGAGATAAATCAAATACATCATTGAAATTATCTCCCTTAGACTGCTTTTAAATTATGTATAAAGTAATGGTTAATGAACAATTAAGATAATTTAAAACAGTGTAAGGGAGGTAATCCAAATACAACGTTTTGGTTACTTCCCTTACACTGCTTTTAAATTATGTTTAAAGAAATGCATATTTATAAAGGAAGACCAGTATGGCGCATTAGATTTGTAAAATCTTTGACCACATTTATTTATTTGTTATGCCAAATCTAACCGTGTATTTAGATTTTTAATTTTGGGTCCAGTTTTCAAATTGGTCTACATTAAGGTCCAAAGGGTCCAAAATTAAACTTTGTTTGATTTTAACAAAAATTGAATATATGGGGTTCTTTGATATGCTGAATCTAAACATGTATTTAGATTTTTGATTTTTGGCCCAGTTTTCAAGTTGGTCCAAATTGGGGTCCAAAATTAAACTTTGTTTGATTTCAACAAAAATTGAATATATGGGGTTCTTTGATATGCTGCATCTAACCATGTATTAAGATTTTTCATTTGTGGACCCCGCTATCAAATTGGTTCATATTGAGGTCAAAAGGGTCCAAAATTATAAACTTTGTTTGATTTCATCAAAAATTGAATTATTGGGGTTCTTTGATATGCCAAATCTAACCGTGTATTTAGATTTTTAATTTTGGGTCCTGTTTTTTAAATTGGTCTACATTAAGGTCCAAAGGGTCCAAAATTAAACTTATTTTGATTTTAACAAAAATTGAATTCTTAGGGGTTCTTTGATATGCTGAATCTAAACATGTGTTTAGATTTTTGATTATGGGCCCAGTTTTCAAGTTTGTCCAAGTTGGGGTCCAAAATTAAACTTTGTTTGATTTCAACAAAAATTGAATATATGGGGTTCTTTGATATGCTGAATCTAAACATGTATTTAGATTTTAGATTTTTGGCCCAGTTTTCAAGTTGGTCCAAATTGGGGTCCAAAATTAAACTTTGTTTGATTTCAACAAAAATTGAATATATGGGGTTCTTTGATATGCTGAATCTTACCATGTATTTAGATTTTTTATTTGTGGGCCCGCTATCAAATTGGTTCATATTGAGGTCAAAATGGTCCAAAATTAAACTTTGTTTGATTTCATCAAAAATTTAATTATTGGGGTTCTTTGATATGCCAAATCTAACCGTGTATTTAGATTTTTAATTTTGGGTCCCGTTTTTTGAATTGGTCTACATTAAGGTCCAAAGGGTCCAAAATTAAACTTTGTTTGATTTCAACAAAAATTGAATATATGGGGTTCTTTGATATGCTGAATCTTACCATGTATTTAGATTTTTTATTTGTGGGCCCGCTTTCAAATTGGTTCATATTGAGGTCAAAAGGGTCCAAAATTAAACTTTGTTTGATTTCATCAAAAATTGAATTATTGGGGTTCTTTGATATGCCAAATCTAACCGTGTTTTTAGATTTTTAATTTTGGGTCCCGTTTTTTTTACTTGGTCTACATTAAGGTCCAAAGGGTCCAAAATTAAACTTAGTTTGATTTTAACAAAAATTGAATTCTTGGGGTACTTTGATATGCTGAATCTAAACATGTGTTTAGATTTTTGATTATGGGACTAGTTTTCAAGTTTGTCCAAGTTGGGGTCCAAAATTAAACTTTGTTTGATTTCAACAAAAATTGAATATATGGGGTTCTTTGATATGCTGAATCTAACCATGTATTTTGATTTTGGACATTGGACCATAATAGGTAAATTAAAAAAATTGAAGTTCTTAGACCACATTCTTTCTGTGTCAGAAACCTATGCTGTGTCAAATATTTAATCACACTTCAAATTCAGAGCTGTATCAAGCTTGAATGTTGTGTCCATACTTGCCCCAACTGCTCAGGGTTCGACCTCTGCGGTCGTATCAAGCTGCGCCCAGCGAAGCATTTTATTGTTTTTTACCTTGATTTGTATATTCTTAATGGATTGATGAGATTTGATCATCAGTAAATTAATGTTGCCTTTGATAAGGCCATGTTCATATTCATGGGTACATCTACTACAATTTAAATTTCCTTGTTCAATTTAAAGTTTTTTTTACCATCTGTTCATGGTATTGTGTAGGTTAAGATATATATAATTCTTCAGTATTTTTACTGTAAATTAAAGACTGATTACACAATAAAATATTGTGGTTTTTTTTGTGAAATTGTTGTAGTTATACATTAATACTGTAAAAAAAACCAACCTAAACAAATCAACAATGAAATAGTATCAAAATATTACATCAGGAAAAAGTGTTTGTTATCTAACAGATTTGATATACGTAACTCATGAGGATGGGCGAACTGTCCTTAAAAGTGAAGAAGTAACATTGAAAGTATTTTTTATACCCCCCGCCGTTGTGGAGGGGGCAATAAGTTTTACCCTTGTTCGTCTACATCCATCCAGAAGTCCCAAAATTGGTTTCCGTTCTCTAACTTTAGTTTGCCTCAACCAAATGTTATGAAACTTATACACAATGCTTATTACCACAAGACACAGATCAAGTTTGAATTTAGGTTGTGTCACTTGTACCTTTCTAGAGATGTGTCCCTTTACAAATGGGAAAATTGCCGAATTTTTCATTTTCATTTTCTAGCTTAAGTTTGCCTCAACCAAATGTTATAAATCTTATACACAATGCTTATTAACACAAAACACAGATCAAGTTTGAATTTTGGTGGTGTCACTTTTACCGTTCTAGAGTTGTGCCCCTTTACAAATGGAAAAAATTGCTGAATTTTTTGTTTCTATTCTCTAACTTAATTTTGCCACAACCAAATGTTATAAAACTTATACACAATGCTTATTACTACAAAACTCAGATCAAGAACAAATTTGGGTAGCGTCACTTTTACCGTTCTTGAGTTATGTCCCTTCATGACATTATATGCAAGCGGGGGCATCATCTGTGTCTACTTGAAACAGTCTTATTACTGTAAATTCAGAAATTATTGTGTGCATTTATTATTGCGATGTTTGAAGAATGAACAAAAATGCGAGATTAATTATTGCGATTTCAGTAAAATCTGCATACAAATATATGTAGCAAATATCAGAATGAGAGTTCTTATTATTTTGATACTCGCCTAGTCACATCATCCGCATTAATAAAAACCTCGCAAACATTTCTTAATTTACAGTACTATTTGTCTGAAATATAACAAAAACATCTTTTTTATTTGACTTGTGTAATTGTTTTCACAGTATGTTTGTGCTCCAGACGCTCAACCATTACAAAATATTCTTGTTTGTTTAAGGTCGATACAGACTTATACTGAGAAGAGAACAAGTATTAAAGTTAGCATGTAACCAGTGGTTGACAGCAGATATATCATTTAAACCTTTACCAACATCAGAAACATCATGGTGCTGGGTTGGACAAGATTTTAGTGACAATGAACCAGTTATTGAACAGTTAGCAATTAAATTTAAGGTTAGAAATCATTGTAAATTTAAGGTTAGAAATTATTGTAAATTTAAGGTTAGAAATCATTGTAAATTTAAGGTTAGAAATCATTGTAAATTTAAGGTTAGAAATCATTGTAAATTTAAGGTTAGAAATCATTGTAAATTTCAGATGTTTGTTCTGTATACTATTCTAGTTGTACAAAGACATAACATACGGAATACAGGAAGAAATAGCTTGACATATCAATTCAGATAACACACCTGCAACTGTCCAAACTGATTAGCCATTTGTATATTGTGCATTCACTGCTTTCCATTGCTATTATGCATGTATCTACAAGTCTTGTTAAGATTTATAAGCCGACCATGCGAGACCCTCATGGGAAATCAAGGTTGTTAAAAACCTCCCTCGTCGTTGTCAAGATGCTACTAAATTTCATAAAATTTTATAAATTAATTTGAAAATAATGGTACTAATTTTGCAAACGTGATAAACATGATGCAATAGGTTTCTTGGTTCATTAAAAAAAAACAGAATTTATAACATGTATTTCATTGATTGATTGATTGATTGTTGGTTGCTTAACATCCAGTGGCAAATATGTCATGCATGTTCAGGACGAGAACAAATTAACAATAAATACAATAGGTAGATCCTTGAATAGAAGCCCTTCAGGATATAGGTCAGAGAAATTTAGACTGCCACTGAAAAATGAGGGTATATTGGATAGGGACAGAAATTTTGCCTTGCAACAGGACACATACCGACCCCTCAAAGAGTTGATGCAAGGGTTCTTTATGTGCAAGCACATACCACTCTCTCTACACCAGGCATTGGATTTAATGTCCCTTTTCTAAAGTGGCTGCAACATATACATCCAGAACAGCCAAATGGACGCCCCACTTTGGCAAGGGTTTTGCTGCCTGTCAGAAGAAGACCTTATTGATCATATTTCTATTTCCCAGTCACCCATTGATCCTTAAGCCTTAAATTGATTTAAGTAACAAAAGGGCCAAATTTTAGAGCAAGTACTGAAATAATTATTCAGAAAAAAAAGTAAACAATATATTGGAGCCATGTGTTTATAATTTTTTAGACAATAGAGCTGGCTCAACAGTTTAAACAAGTGATTGATAGCTGTCAGAACAACATCAGAAAACAGAAATTAACAGCTACAGAGAAGGGAGGTAAATATTAAAATAGTATTAAAACTCAGGAACAAATTTATTTTAATTATACCATTAGAATACTGTAAATTCAGAAATTATTGCGAGGTTTTTATTAATGCGAATAATGCGACTGGGTGACTATCGCAATAATAAGAACTCGCATTCTGATGTCTGTTACATATATCTGTATGCAGATTTTCATGATATCGCAATAATTAATCTCGCATTTTTGCCCATTCTTGAAAAATCGCAATAATTAATGCACGCAATAATTTCTGAATTTACAGTACCCACATTGTCATATTGTAAAAAGCAGACAAATATTGTTTGTTTTCCATGAATGTTGTTGGAAGACGAGACATAAGTATACAAATTAGAAAAGGATTTGTATTGAGGATAAAAGAAGAGCTGTACTGTTCATAGTTTGAAAAAAGGAAGATTGTTTATGCCCCACTATCAGTAGTAGTGCTGCATATTGTTTTCTTATATGTGTGTGCATTAGTTTGTTTGTCCTTCCCATATCAGATTAAAGATTGGTTTAAGGTAGTTTTGCATGAAGTTGTGGTTACATTAACTTTAGAGTTAGTACACATGCACATTATAATATGAAATTTTAAAATAAATGCCTAACTAGGGTTTTGATTAAGATTTTTTGGTTCACTAAACACGCAGTTGTGATTATTTGAGCTGGCCGTGGTGTGTTGTGATATGTACACATATTCTCGTTTTTTGTCCTGCTTGACAGAGTCAAAAAGCGAGACATAGGTATGATATTTGCGACGGCGGCGTCAACAATGTATTAGTTTGTGATTAGGTCTAGTTTGTGGTGAACCACAAGTTGTAGGTCAATCATATTTGGTATACAGTTGTATAAGCATTGGCACATTTCATTTCCATGGAGATTATTTGGCCCTGCCCCCTCAGTCATGGTCTATTGACTTTAAAACTTTTGCTTATTTTACATGTAATAGTTTGTGATTAGGTAAGTTCAAGGGGAACCATTAGTGGAAGGCCAATGTTACAGCCGATTGCATTGAGTGTGTAGGCAAAGGTAATGTCTTTGGTAAGCTTGCTTGCTAGCTGAACCGTGAAGTCATTATTAGGTAAGTTATACTACCCTCCTTTCGAAGTAGCCTAGTCCTACAGACAGATAAATCTGTTATCTGTCGGACTAGTCTACTCTTAAAGGAGGGTAGTTTACCTAACCCAATAATGACTTCACGGTTCAGCTAGCAAGCAAGCTAACCAAAGATATTACCTCTGCCTACACACTCAATGCAATTGGCTGTAATTGGTATTCAGTTGTATAAGCATTAGCACATCTCATTTCAATAGAGAATATTTGGCCCCATTCCCTCAGTCATGGCCTATTGTCTTTGAAACTTTTGCTTAGTTTACATGTATTAGTTTGTGATAAGATCAGTTTAGGATGAACTGCTAATGTTAAGTCAATGATATTTGGTATGCAAATTTATTGGCATTTGTAAGTATCGTTTCCATCAGATTATATAGCTTCACCCCCTCTTCATGGTTCATTGACTTTGAAACTTTTACATAGTTTACAAGTTAATGTTTGTGTTTAGGTTTGTTTAAAGGGAACAACTTATAATAAGTCAATGATATTTGGTATGCAGTTGTATTAGCATTGGCACATCTCATTTACTTGGAGATGGTTTAGCCATGTACCTCAGTCATGGTTCATTGACTTTGAATATTAGCCTAACTTGTTAAGTATTGCCATTTTAATTTCAACATTTGCATAATCAAAATTACAAAAAAAGCGAGACATATCTCTGTGATAACAGTTTATTTAAATCAGATTTTTGTCTGTGACCTTTTTCTATAATGAAGTCAGAAAGTTAATCACATGAACCCACAATAAGAAGTGTATACAAGCTCTACACGATTTGATGTATTACTTATGGATCACTTTACCTTACACTTCATTTTCATGGTTCAGTGATTCTAATAATTTATATTTATTACAGATGCAGATATAAAACCCACAACTGTGGTAGCACAGCCAGAAGAGTCAAGAACTGTGGTAGCACAGCCAGAAGAGTCAAGAACTGTGGTAACACAGCCAGAAGAGTCCAGAACTGTGGTAGCACAGCCAGAAGAGTCCAGAACTGTGGTAACACAGCCAGAAGATACAATGAAGAATGTTATTGAAGAACAAGTTAAAGTAGAAGAAGATGAAGAAGACGATGATGAATATACAACAGATGAAGATGAAGAAGAAATACTTTTTGACAAAAGAATAAAATTCTTCAGCAAAGAAGAAGATTGGAAGGTGAATTACAGTGCTAATACCTCTGAAGTACTGTTATTTTACATATACTCAGTTAAATTTAGGGAAACTGTGATATATACCCTACGTGTTGGTGTCCACAGCTGTTTCTCGGGTACTGAATGACTTACAGCAGGATTATTTTGTCTGCAAGCTGGCCTTGAAGAGACTGGTCAAACCCACATTTTACTGTTCACTGGCTTTTTATTTTTGAGTCGATCAGTTTAATATTAAAAGAGATTTGTAATCATATGTTTCGGTGTAAGGATGAATCTTCCCACCAGGAGTAGGTCATTCTTACTAATATTCAGTCTTCCTGCTTACTGTTTCCTGTGAACTAGCCTATTAACAACTGACTCATTATGTCAGACTGGTTCAAAGCAGGGTTTCTATTTATATCACATTAAGATGTCCTAGTCCTGAAATGCATGTAAGATTTGTGAGTGGACGTTCAACATCAATCCATCCATCCTTGATAGAAACTCTTAATATGGGAATAAATTGACTAGTTAATTGTAGTTAGCTTTCTGAATATCATTATTATTATGTTCTGCTAAAAATCTTGTAAGATGAATTTCATTTTATTAATTTTTAGGCGGTAGGACTAGGAACAATAAAGGTTATTTATGATGAAGATGTCAATGGCAATCGGATAATGGTAGAATTAGACAACAAAAACGTTGTTTGTAATCATTTAGTAACCAAGGAACTGAATATGTCTATGTAAGTAGGCTTTTTGTAAATATTTTGCTTTGTGGTTCCAGAGTTACAGTTGTCAGATTTTAATAAATTTTTTACATTTGTACCAAAGCTTGAGTTGGATTAGATTGATTTATCATTTACTGACAACTTTACATAATTTCTGGAATGGTGAACATAGCACAACTTTTGATTTAATTATAATTTTTTATCGATATGTCATTAGAGTTATAAGGTTTGGCTGTCAGATAAATAAAACGCATTTTTTAAATGTCTTGCATTAGCTAAAGTATACTTTGTTCAAATTACTATAAACTTAACATTTTTGTAAGGATTGGTGAATTTAGGCTCCTGAAAATTCTGGTTTGTCATTCCAGACTGAGCATTTTTGTTAGGATTGGTGAATTTAGACTGAATTTTGAAAATTCAAGTTTGCCATTCCAATCTTAACTTTTTTGTAAGAATTGGTGAATTTAGACTCCTGATTTTGAAAATTCTGGTCTGTCACTCCAAACAACACTTTTGTTAGGATTGGTGAATTTAGACTCCTGATTTTGAAGATTCCGGTTTGTCATTCCAAACAACACTTTTGTTAGGATTGGTGAATTTAGACTCCTGATTTTGAAGATTCCGGTTTGTCATTCCAGAGTTATGGAACTTTTAACAGTTATTATTGACCTATACTTAAGGTTATTTTTGTTTTTCATTACAGAGATAAAAAAGACTGTTTTTGGTCTCCAATAGATTTCTCTACAGATGAACCTGTAAGAAGGCACTTTAGATCTCAGTTTAGTTCAGAGCAGGCTGCTCAAGAATTCCAGAAAGTATTTGAGGAGGTGAGTTACTGCATATTTTCATCACATTTTTCTCTGGTTCTACTAAACATCATATTAAGTCAGTAGTTTGACATTGATGAGATTTCAATTTTGAACACTTTGTCAGACATATACTTCCTGTTTGCCAATATTTTGAATTTTTAATGTGAAGGAAAACAAATATTTGTGTAAGGAACTTTAGAACAGAATTACTTCATATTTGACCAGCAGATGGATAGTGATGTGTTGTAACTTATGAGTGTGTTCCAGACCTGTTGGACAACTACTTCCTGTTTTCTGATTCTTTGAATTACTGTATGCAAATGGGGTATCCTTAGAACGACAACATGTGCATTCTTGTTAATTCCTATATTTTGTACTCAATAAAATTTAAAGGACGACTAATTGTGATGCCAAAACACATTTGTGATGTTCTACTCTCTAGGCCAAACTAGAAATAAATAGAAGTGTGTGCATCTGAATGGCTGATATGTAAAATGTTATTGAAGTGAGAAATAACTATCATGAATCCTCCCCGAAAATGAAATAAAAAAAATAAAAATATAACATATTAGGTCAGCTGAGGGTTACACAATTTGTGTCAATCGTTTTAATATGATTATTGTGTCTAGTTTTTATTATTATTTGTTTGATAATGTATTATTATTTTATTTTTCCCAGGGACGCCAGTTAGCACAGGAATCAGAAATTTCAGAAAGAGACCTAGCGACTTTCCCACATGAGATAACATTTCCACATGCTCATAGTGGCTCCAGTCAATGAGGATTACAATAGACAATAACTTTGTTATGGATTAATGTAGCTTTCTGTAACTCTGAAATCAAATGTGAATTACAAGTTCTGTTTAATGTAATGATTAATTAATGTAATTCTTATTAGAATGACACAGGAATTTGTGTAACTGTTAAATTATGTTATTGTTTCAAGTCTTAAGTTATGATATGTTTTCTGCTAACCTAATGGTATTAGGGTAATGTTAATGAATTCAAACTGCATGGAATGTAAAGTATTTATCAAAAGAATGTTAAGTCTTCAATATTAATAGTTTTATGTTGATCACAAGGATTACAGCAAATTATACAAAGGGTTTTGTTATGTTTTGATTAATGTAACAAATCTTTCAGATGGGATTGTTTCTATTTGGTGTAAAAAAAATTCTGTTAAAAGAATAGCATCTGTAGAAATACAAATAGTATGGTCATACTTTACAATCAAATTTGTATTGTGAAATTGACTAATTAGATTATTGGTATCTTTTTTACTACTCATGACAAAGTGTTTTCCCTAGAGGATTTATGCATTGTGGGGCCTCCATGCATTTATGTTGATCATGATTAAAAAAACTTTAAACTCCCTTTAATGAGCCCCTATCATTCAAAACTAATGGACACCATCCTTTCAGTCAATCCCTCGTCAATCAAAAATATTCAAAGGAAAACACTATTCAAATGCTTAATTTACATGGAACCTGAGTCAGATAGTCATTCATATTTGTTGTCTATATTTATAGTGCTATATTCATTAAGATTTTAACACGTTTCAATTACAAAAATTGTAGCTTCATTTCAAGTATTAAATTCTATTTTGTCCAATAGTTTTTTACTTGGCCCCATTTAATCTATTAAAAAAAAATCAATCAACAACAGTTTAGGCAATGATACTATTTGTATTTACAGAACTTAATTAGAACAATATTGTGAACACTTAATCTAGTTTTCTAGTTATTTACATGTTAATGTAGTTAAACACAATTATTACTGATGACATTGTCAGTTTCTGATGTTTGAAAAGGTGAGGCTTAAAAGGATGTATAATGAAAACCTATTTAACACTGAAATATGACTTGGGTTTTGGATTATTTTGGTTAAAAAAAATTATATGCTAAAAAACAAGATGCATGAAAATCTGTTAAAAATTAGTTTTTTAATTAAAGGTTTAAAGGTTATATCTTCTTTCATTTCAATTTCTCTTTTCTTTCTAATATCTTTATCATATTGTACAGTCGACTCCACTTAATTGCATACCGCTTAATAGCATAATTCGGTTAATTGCATAGTTTTCTCCTGCACAAAACCATTTCCCATTCATCTAATGTTAAATTGTCCGGTTATATGCATAGCTCTACAAGTGGCCTTTCGGTTTATTGCATAGAAAATTATCGCCATCTAGATATGCTTTGTTAAATCTGTCAAAATTTTTGACCGGAAACGGCAAGTTGGTGAGTATATTTTTCTTGAATGCATCATTATTTTCATTATTATTTCATATTTACTTTTGTGTTATTCAAATAAAGTTTTAAAACAGTTTCTTTCGTGTTTATATGATTTAATTTGATTTAAAAATAAACCTCGATATCTACACAGGTAAAGTTTCCCATGTTCTATTTTAAGCCTCGAGGTCATAAAAATGTCAAACAGGTAATTGTTGTAAAAACACTGACCATTCTATCTAAAAGGTGTAAATAATTGATTGGATTTCAAACATTGTCCATAGATTACATTTGGGGTGAAATTCAAAAACAATAACTCTGCTAATTATCGATCATTATCCAACGTGAACTCTCGTAATTGGGCTGGGGGTGATCTGCATTTATGTTAAATATTACAGGGCATTTATATATGGTTAAAGAATTTTATATATCAATCATTTAATTTTAATATATTTTGAAAAGAGCATTTACTTCTAATGATTATATTTTTTCACTTTCAATACTCGTGTCCAGCAAATAACCCGTACAGGGCCCCATTACTGCTTTGCATATACGAAACTAAATAAGTTAAATAAACAGTGTTACTTCACTCTGCAAACTGTAAATATTGTATATCAAAGGCAGTTTAGTACACATCTATTGTTAAAATGATTATAAACTGTGTAATCAAAGCATAACAATGTACATTGTACATACGGGTCATAGAAACAAATCTATTTTTAGAACGATTTATTTTCGTATCCCAGGTAAACTGGTAAAGGAAACGTCGGTACGCAAATAAACTAAAACAAAATGTGTTTATAATCTTTATTGAAATAATACAAAATAAAATAACATGTATGACACTAGACATATAACTTTTATTAGAATAAATCAACATTCAATATGTTGTAATTGGATTATAGACGTTCATCTTTCTTCAGGGATTTCCTTTACTGATCTGTTCTATCGATGTTATTTGACTCCGTAATTTGGCATTTCGGATATAAGCATACTCCGCTTTATTGCATAATTTTGTCTGACAAATAGGCTATGCAAATAACCGGAATGTACTGTATACTTTTTGCTATTTCTACAATATTAGAAACTTTTGGAAATCAAAATTGTTCATGGAGAGAAGTAATCATGGATTGTTAAACTTAATCTATAAACAATTAGTGCTGTATTAAATTATTTCACAGTGATGGTGTTATATTTTATTGAGTTGTATTGCCACTACTTGAGCTGAATGATGTAAATACTATTATGATCTAAAGAAAGAGCATGACTTGCTGATGTTCTGTTGATCAAATTAAACTAAACTGTACCAAAATGTCTTTGTGAACGTGTGATTTGAAAAATTATTGCTAGAAACTAAGGGCGCACATGCCGTTGTCAATGAAATTAACAACGTTGTCATAGGTAAAATAGCGATAAACAGATTATCATTAGTCATCTCGACATGATTGCTGTTTTCACTTTCGCCTTACCGGCTCAAGTAAGAAAATAGATCTCGTTTAGATGACCGCAATAATTTCTAAATTACTGTGATTTTAGGAAAAGATGCATACAGATATATATTAATCAGACATCTGAATTTGAGTTCTTAAGTAGAGTAGATATGGTTTTGACAGGTGAGCAAGTCAGGCTCTTCAAAGCCTCTTGTTATTCCCACTGATCATGGAATTTTCGGTAACATAATACAGTTGTGAATGATTTTGATACTTCAACCTGTTCCCAATCTTTACCATCTCCTTTAACTCACTGAATAACAGTTTTTGTCTCTACTTGACGGAGTCAAAAAGCGAGACATAGGTATGCTGTTTCCGGCGGCGGCGTCAACAATGTATTAGTTTGTGATTAGGTCTAGTTCATGGTGAACCACTAGTGGTAGGTCAATGATATTTGGTATGCAGTTGGATTAGCATTGGCACATCTCATTACCATGGAGATTATTTGGCCCCGCCCCCTCAGTCAAGGTCTATTGACTGTAACTTTTCATAGTTAACATGTATTAGTTTGTGATTAGGTCAATTTATGGGGAACCACTAGTGGTAGGTCAATGATATTTGGTATGCAGTTGTATAAGCATGGGCATATCTCATTTCCATGGAGATTATTTGGCTCTGCCCCCTTAGTCATGGTCTATAGACTTTGAAAATTTTGCTTAGTTTACATGTATTAGTTTGTGATTAGATCAGTTTAAGATGAACTGCTAATGTTAAGTCATTGATATTTGGTATGCAAATTTATTGGCATTTGCAAGTATCGTTTCCATGGAGATTATATAGCCCCACCCCTGATCATGGTTCATTGAATTTGAAACTTTAACATAGTTTACAAGTTTATGTTTGTGTTTAGGTTTGTTTAAAGGGAACGACTTATAATAAGTCAATGGTATTTGGTATGCAGTTGTATTAGCATTGGCACATCTCATTCCATGGAGATTGTTTAGCCATGTACCTTCAGTCATGGTTCATCGACTTTGAATATTTGTATTACTTACATGTTAAAGTATCGCAATTTTAATTTCAACATTTGCATTATCAAAATTACAAAAAGGCGAGACATATCTCTGTGATAACAGTTTATCTTCCCAATTTACAGATTTCTGAAATATTCTCATGGTATTCTAGTTTTTAGATGGTAAAAACATTTCTTCAAATAAGAGGCAAGATTTTGTTTTAACACTCAACACCTAATTATTTCATTTGCTAACAATCTAAGGAAGTTAATATATGAAGAGAAGTTTAACACAAGTTTTGTTATGATTGGCTCGACAGTATTACAGCTTTGAGGCCTATTAAACATTATAATTACTGTGTTTCAGCTATTCTTGTCCCATGTCGGTAGTTGTATTTAGCCTAATGAAATTTTGGGTTGATGTCACATTTTTAGTTGTCTCCATTGAATTTGTTTCTACATGGCTACTTTAAAACTTGTCATATATTTATAAGACGTGTTTTGTCGTGAAAGATAGCACAATGACCTGTAGTTTATATTTTAGTTTTACGTCTGCTGTTAGGCTAGTGTCCCTTTGACATTTAAAATCATATATTGCATTCCCAGTGGCACTTCATTTTGTGTTTGAGATACAATAGATACGACTAAGTATATTAAAAAATATGTTATTTGCAGGGAAGGCGAGTTGTTAATTTTCGATGAGCTAAAGCTTATTCATTGTAACTTGTACTTTAAACTACTGGTGTGACGACTTTTCCAAAGTATAGTATTTTCTTAATTAGACCCTATTATAGTTTTACCACTAAATTGGGCCCAGTCAGAAAGTAGCGCAAGAGAGGCGAAATATATCAAAGGGGTATTCAAAGTCGAAACATAAACTGACAACGCCATGAATAAAAAACAAAAAGACAAACAGACAAACACCTGTACATATCAGTAATCTCGGGTGCTCAGGAAGCGTAAGAAGATTCTGCTTCACATCTTGACTCGTCATGTTGGTCCTGTAAGTACAAACTCAGTAATACGTCTAATTCGTTAGGTCAGTTTCAGGAAAAAGGGGACGGGATAACAGTCTGACATTTGGCACATATCCATTGTCATCTGTATAACAGATATTCCATAACGGTCAATTAAAGACCAAACAGCCTATTGTTGATGCGCATCAACTAACGCAACTTGGTAGTGACATAAAAGCTCTATGACGTTGTTTCTAGCCATGAAAAAAAACGTCAAATTATAACGTCCTATTTCGTGTTTTTCACGGATTCCAACATAGTGTACGCTTAAAACTACGTCTTCCAAGAAAAGTGGAAATAAGCGTCGCACTGATACCTAGTGGAAATTAAACACAAATGGACACAAAAGATACTACACTATCTGTAACCTCCGTTCTAATAAAAATAATAATAAAAATATAAATTTTGAACTCGGCTTTTTGCATTTGCGCCGATCTGCATTTCACTTTTTTTCCTTCACTTGCGCCGATTTTGTCTTTCATTTGCGCCGATTGTGTACAGGTAAATTATAGGTGAAAGTTATTTTTTTACTTATCATATAAACCTCTTCCGTTAGCCAGTTGTACATATGTTATGAATTGTCAATTATAACATGTATATAACTGTTGTCCCCTGCTCACAAAGGGGAGGTGGGAGTAGAATTTCGAGCAAGATAGGTCAATTTAAAAGATATTTGTGCACTCTGTGTACATCCACTAAAAGCACGGAGTAAAACTCTATTTACAGCATTTCAAAGCACCACAATAAAATCCATAAAAATGTAATACTAGTACAAATGAATTATTATCTTGCCGAGAATTTATATGCCACACATCTGATATATTCCTTTCTTGTCATTTTATCTTTTCTATACTTGTTGTACTTGCCAATAACGAAGTCCATCTTTTCTTTCTCGTGTCAAAACGAAGTTCTCGAACAATATGACCAAAATTATCTTAAACATAAGGGAACACTATTTATATCCATATATTACCATGCAATATACATTCTAGGTTTACTACATGTACATGTATTTACTCGTATAGCAAATAAAGTATCGGGGCTAGTGATAAAAAAATAAAATAGGCACTAATGAAAGAATCAAATCGGCGCAAATTAAAGATCGAAATTTTTTTTAAATCGGCGCAAATCTCGTACGCCCGTGTAACTTTACACTGGTATATTTTTATGACTTACGCTTAGAGTTTTAACTTAATATGTGATTTTCAAAACTGAGTTTTCAGAATGTTAGGCCGATAAACAATACTTTCTAGAAGTTTCGATATACTGGCAACGTATGCAGGTTGAGATTAACTTACTTCTTTAAGATTCTCGTAAAATAATGGTGA